CGATGTTTACACTTGGGTGCGAAATTGAATGATCTGTGCTTTTTGGCAGCTCATAAACTACCTGACTGCTGGCAAATTCCACATCTCCGAATTCAGTGACCGTGTTTAAGAAAAACAAAATAATGTGGGTTTGGGAATGACCGAAGTTTCATTAACTTCAGTATACTGTCAACTAAAGAAACATCGAAACGAAATTGCAGAAAATTCCCTTTCCATCTGGCAAGTTTAAGAGATGTGACAGCTTCGAAATCACTTTTATTTGGAACAGACTCCTACGAGCAAATTTATATTGATTGTTTTTCAAAACTAACCCACGTCATGTTAACAAACGACCGCTGCATTTTAATGCGACGGTAAATTAAAACAAAATCATGCAGTCCTCATCGTTTAATCAGGGAGGTCTGTTCCCGGTGGAACGTGACTGATTCTTGCCGTTTTGTTATCAATCAAAAATAGTTGGACGCTAAAGTTCACTTTCTTGATTGATTAGGACTTTTCAACTTTCCGAGCACGTGTTTCATTATATTTGGAAGTTTAACGTGAGTTTTAAGAGTGGGATGTTATTACTGGATTTACATCGCTGTAGTCACGATTCTTCTCTAAGAGTTAATCCTGCGAGGATGTGTTAGAAAGCAAACTTTTCCTGAGATACGCACGCCCCTTTATTATTCCATGGCGGGTCGTAGGGCATTTCGCGCATAATTTTAATTAGGAACGTATCAGGCATTTGCAAATTACTTCGGCCATAAATCACCATAACGCGACAATATAACTCCATAGATGATTTCAGTTTGCTAATAGACATTTTTAATACAATAATAAATCATGTTAATAATGACAGGGTAATCACACACCTGGTAATATTCAAACACAATTTACCAACTTGAAAGAAATAAATCAAGGTGAATATATTGTAACTACCGCTTTTCCTCCAGGAAAAAATCGAGATTATGTGGGTCTTAATACGAATGTCCACTATTCACGGCAATAAAAATATAAAGCTTTACAACCGCCGAACAGAACATCAGCAAACCGGATTTTCCCTTTTCGTTCAAAATAAGCCTAACATTCGTGCTTTTATTATTCTTTTCCATTTTAATCTCTACTTTAGCTCGAGCAAGAACGTGACAGTGCTTTATTTATGAAATAATTAAGATCTTGAAATTCTAGAAGGGAAGTTTTAAGAAGTTGCAAAAAGTAAAATGTAACCCTATTATGTAATCTCGCAGCATTAATTTGACAGTTTCTCTAATTGTTTATGGTTGTTTGCCCGCGAATATTCAAGGTATTATAATTATTTCTGTCTACTGCTTAAATTCTGCAGACAGGAAAACATTCAAAGCTTTACTGTTACTACTCACCAACTCGGCTTAAACTAAATTTACCAAAAAGGGTTTTTACTGTGTGCCAAATTACATCCTATATGTTTAATGGCTGTTTTTCTGCATTACAATTCTATCTAAAGCAGGCTTTTGAAGGTAAGGATTAACTCCGAAAGAGCATTCATTTCTAAAACACATGTGCGGTATAACCTGTTGCAGGCAATATTTCACCCACACGATGCTGTCAAAATTTTGAAACAGTTTTTAGGGCGTTGTTACCCTTCCGGACCTTTGTTTCTCTTTCCTTCTCTCACTCTCTCTGCCACCGCATCAAAGACAATCACCTATAGACATTTTCAAAATAAAAACAGCGCCAATAATAAAAAATACAAAGTGTTTAGAAATAAATATTACAACAATTAAACAACTCTTTCCCAGTGCAAAAGACAACAATAAACTTACTGTCGATATCACTGTCAAATCGACAACATGATTCAATTTCTTTCACCGATTTTTTGAGGTAAGCGTTGCATATTCACAAACTATAATCTAAATAAAGCTCTGTTTGTAACCTATAGTGTGTAGTTTACGCTTCCTTACTGATTTTACAATTAAGCCCTGCCCTTTGCTCTAACAACGAATGAAAAATTCATCACATTTGAAGTTGGGACGGGAGGGTGGGGCTTATTTTTTGATTTTTTTATACAGTTTTGTGCTTGTAGAGAAATAAACATTTTGCAATTAAGTTCCGGCCCTCGGCTCGTGACGAATAAAAAAATTCATCACAATTGAGATGAGGGTGGGTGGGCGGGGTTTGTATTTTGCATTTTTGCCTAGCGTATGTACGTAGTTTTCTTTTCATGATAAGAAACTGAAAATATGCGAAAAAATTGTAAATTAGTAAAGAAGAGTGTGGGATAAAATTTAACATTTTATGCATGTTTTAAATTTTTTGTTGTGAAAAGAAGACTGCATATTAAGAAGAAAAACATGCAAAACGTGAGCCCCGCCCACCCACCCGGTCCCCATTGTGACGATTTTTCCTTATTTGTCGTGAGTCAGGAGGGGCGGAGCCTAAGTTTACTTTTTTTCTGTAGATACGTAATCTTCTTTCCACAAGATATTTAGAACATATTGAAAATGGTAAATTTTTGTCTGGAAATATTGATTTTATAATTAAGCTCCGCCCCTCGTTCTAACAATGAATAAAAATTTCATCACAATTGAGATGAGGGTGGGTGGGCGGGATTAGTATTTTGCTTTATTTCCCTAATATACGTAGTTTTCTTTTCATGATAAGAAACTGAAAATATGGGTAAAAATTGTAAATTTTTAGAGAAGTGTTGCATGAAATTTACCATTTTATACATGTTTTCAATTTTTTGTTGTGAAAAGAAGACCAAAAAAATCATTAAAAAATTGTCGTATTTCTTCGATTTTAAAAAAACGCCTGGGGTCACTCTAAACAGAACCGCGGTACTCTAGGGGTCTCACGAGACACTGACTCGAGGAGTTTCTGCTTCTTCTGATCTTTCGGTCTTAAAGGTACTTATTACAAATATCAAAAACGCGAACTTTCCATGCATCCAACTAACTCATTGCACATCCATTCGGGATGGAGTTAAACGTGCATGAAGATTGAACCGCATCACGTCCATAGAGCGTCAGCTCTTACCACTAATTTGATTAGCGTTCTGTTTGCATTACCAGTGCACCAATTACACGGAAATAATTTGCTTTGTTACACGGGATTGAACATATCGGGCCGTACTGGACAACGTGTGCGTGTGTGCTGTTTATCTTTCGAGTGACGGAGAGCAAAATGTACAATTTTGGCATGCGGTTTGTGTGACGTTATTCATTTTGGCACTAGTAGTTTTTATTTTCGGGATGATTTTTGTACTGTAGTTAACGCGGGCTGCTATCTAATGACAAGTGGTGCGTTTTTGCTGTCGAAGCAACAAAGTTTTTAAAATTTATTCTACAAAAATATAAAGACGCGCATGCGTAGAAAACTAAATGCGCATCCGTGCTTTGAGGCGACAAACTCATTAGAATCAAACAAATTTCTATGTGACATTTTTCCGATGTATAAATAAACAGTTGAAGTTAAAGCTTGTTATTATTGCTGAGCGGCCATTTTGTCCCGTTGGTTATCTACTTGTAGAGGTGTTATTCATAGTTTTTACTTTATACAAAGCGGGATTATTGGACTTGTACTTCAGGGCGAAGAAAGTTCTGTGGAAATAATCTTCGACCATTTTTTTTCCTCAAGAATCTGTCTAGATGTGTGTTAAATAAATATTATTTCAAAACATTGAGAATATTAGACAAAAGAAATAACGCCTATGCCCCGAGTCAAAGTACGTTTCCTAGAAAAGCTGATAGGACGAAATGAACTCCTTATGACCACTGCACAAATACGATAAAGTTGGTACACTCCAGCGGTCGAGGAAAAATCTTGCTTTAACAGTAATGCTACTAATAGAAAAAATTGTGACAGTGGATAATAAAAATGTCAAGTTCGTAGCAGCAGGTGACTTTAATACGCTTATGTTTAAAAATGTTTTCGTGAAAAAGATCAAGTTAAAAGCGAACGCAAAAGTTGTAAAGTTGATGTAAGTTTTTAATTTCCTCTCGGTTTTTCAGCCAATTTGGATCCAGGTGAATATAAATTGATTTTGCTTGTACGCGGCGGCAAAAACTCGGATTAGGCTAAGAGGAGTTTGCACATTTCCAGCGATCCTTTTCCAGCACCTAACAGGTCGGTTGGATAATCCTCGAAGGGGTTCTTAACTTAAGTCTTCAAGTAGCGAACGTGTCGTCTCCCTCTTATATATATATATATATATATATATATACACATAGATTTTAAAATGTATGCATACCGCTGCAACACATGACTGAAGACTTTCATAGATGGTTTGACTTTTATGCAAGAACTCGCTCAAACTGTGATTCGATACGCACATGTATAGGCTGTCGGAAGCCATTCTAGCAGAAAAAATAATTTTAATGCTATCTGACGCTGTTACATATATATGGAAAGTTTCCAATGTTTTTTTTAAATCCCGAAATGAATTCACGCCAGCCGGTTGGTCCACGGACAAAATAATGAAGTAACCGAGGACGAAATCTTCGCCATTTTGAAAAAATGACGTACGGCTTCCTATAGAAAATGACAAGTGTTTTTCTTGTAGAAAAAAATAAAGGATTTGGGGGCGGCGGCTTGGGGGCGGTACCACTTTTGATGCTTTGTCGTTGCCGTTGTACATGCGGCTATTTTTTAGCGCGTGTCGATATTTCGAGTGATAGGCGGCAGCCGTCATAGTATTTAAATTTTCTAGAAATTTCTGGCTGATGTTAATTGTTATTAAGGTCGGCGTTCGGCTGGTGACCACCGTGAATGGCGCATGCAAGTTCTTAAAAGTTGCGAACCGCTCTAGGGGTTGTTCGATGTAGGTGGCGGAGAAATTTGCGCGCACGGGGTGTCGCACGTGTGCCGTCTCCGGTGGGGGTGTTGGAGAATGTGCAGTGGATGGTGGCGAAGACTCCGGAGGGCCTTTGGAGGCGGCCAGGCGTGGGGGCGAGGAAGTTTGGGGGCGGCGATGAGAGAGACGACGAGGGAAAAAGAGCGCGGAGCATTTGCCCAGGAGCAGCTGCCCTGCCAGCGCAACCCCGTACCAGTTTCAACTTAGTCTTGCGCCACCCTGCCTGACATGCAGTCGTAATTCACGACCAGAACATATCACTGTGTACGTATTCGCACTGGCAGAATGGCAACGCACAGCTGCACCTGATAGAGGCAACAGCACCAGATCGGCCCTGTGCACTCTTCTCACAACACGAACACGTCGAACAATGCCACATTTTTCACAAAATTTTCACTAATCACGAAATGACTAGTTTTTACTATTGCACTTGTTAACTCGCACAGTAGTTTGTAAGACATAATATACAACGCACTGCACCATTGCACCGCACTCGAGGGGCACACCGTTACAAGGTAACTGAATTTTTTACTTCTGCTGGTTTGCACACGCACGCTGCTGCCACTTAGCACTAGTTGTTTCTTCCCGGCTTCGTTGACCGCATGTTCGACGCGATGCAGCAAAAATTCAATTACTTTATTCATCCTTTCGCTCCACTTTGCCAATTAGTTGAGTGCTAGTTTACGCGCCAAACGAATAATTGAATTTTGCAGCTTTACGTCAACCTACCCCTAACTATATTCAAACAAATTAATTTTTCGTTACGACCGCATATTTAAGCAGCTATTTTTTAAAAAGTTGCTTTATCTTCGTTGAAATCTCCCTTCAACGACACCTAAACTAACACCAAGAGAAAAACATTATATTTAACGTTCACGAACCTATTTGCCTAACGGTTCAATTAGTCTCCCGGCGCTTCCACCGTTACTAAAAACATGTACTGTAAATATTTCCCAACACCTCCACATTAAAAATCAAATAAAATTATACCATTTCGCCCTTATTCACACAAGGAGGCTAAATTTAAACTTAACAACATCGTATAAAAGTACAATATTTTACTTAACTACCCTCAGACATAAAGCTGATATTAATTACGATGACGCTTCATCAAACCACAATCTACATAATTATTCTCTTTGTTGACTTTGTATTAGCGTCAACAAATTATGATGGACTAATTTCCTCGACATTTTTTTTTAAAGTCGCACAAACGTACATTGTAAATTGGCACGTACGCGCTAAACAAACAGGAATACTTTTCAAGAATGATTAGTTGAAAACCCGGCGCATCCACCATTTTTGGGTCATCTTTGATAAGCAGAGTGCGGGTAATTTCATACTAATCCGCTAGTTCCTGTTGAGCCTGAGAGCATATTTGTACCTTTAGAAAAGCTGTCATCGTGAAAAATCTAGCTTCTAATACTTTCACGTCACCGGGTGTCAATTTGATCGCAGATTTTTAACACTGATATTACGTATTGTCGTGCACGATATATTGAAAGAAATTTATCAAACATGGAAATTTTGACTTGTCAACGAACACTCTGATTTAGCAGACATAAAAATCGTGCTCCAGTGCACAACTGGCGTGGAGGCGTCTTAAATGAAACTTCTTAGTAATTAATAACAAAAAAATGTAAATATCTCAATTGCCTCCGAAATATTCATTTAAATGAATCCCACGGGGAGCAGAATTAATTCGACGAACAGATGATTAAGAAAGTTAAAGTTCTCGCAGTAATATTAAAATGCAGACATTTCGGGGCAAACAACAAAAAACCAATTCGATTATATATTGTACATCCGTACAACTAAATTCAGTCGATACTGGACAGGTAGTACCAAGAATCAACTAGAGGCACTTCCTGTACACAAACAAACAGTACCACTAATCCAAAAATTTAACATGTGTGGGTACTACCCGCATAGTACCAAGCATCGATTAAATGTAGCTACTTCTACATACTATTTAATAAACGAATGCAAATAGTTAATTAATACATCCGACTAAATAGTAATCGCGAACTAAAGAAACAAAGCGAATTGGTTTAGCCATGAACAAAATTTATTCTGCTAATCCGATAATACAGCATGTATGTGTCTGTGTAAACCCAATCAATCATAACTTCGTCGAAACCCAATCAGTTCAAGCAGCTGCTATAGAGTTAGCACAGCGAATAAAAAAGCGGAAAAGCATAATTCAAGCAAAATTAAACACGATAGGCTACAGTAAGACCAGCTGGTGCGTGAGATTAATTAATAAACAAAAATTCAAACTGTCGGCAAATTTCAAGTCCTTTTGTAAAAATTGTTCGATCCGTGCGCATCGGAGTTAATTATTTTCGCTACAACACACATAATGTTATCCGTGGCTACTTGAATCCACTCATTTTACGGGATCGATTGCTCAGAATATGAACAACAGCGAAATACGAAAAGACCTAAAACTTCCTGAGCACACGTCACTGAACTTCTATTATAAGCGAGCGTAAGGTTGACAGAAAAACTCGTTTCCTTTAACAACTTCGGCAATATTTCATTACCAAATTTAACTTGAGACATTTAAAACCAATATCGTTCGATGCAGTTTTCTATTTTTACAAATACGCCGCGCCCACGCCGCAGCGAACAACTCAATCATGATTAATATTTAATTTCACGAGACAGAAGTTCTTTTCGTCAGCGCTGATTTATTATCATTCACTATTTACGTAATCGAACTTAAATCGAGGGTATTTTGTGGCCGAACCATTAACCTCAACCGCAACCCGAACTTTGCGTCATAAACTTGCACTATCAAAGCACCGCTGGCTTGCCTTAAATTAATCCACACATTTTTGTTGTTACGTTATTTTATAATTTATTGTCAGTATTACTAACATTATATTCTCGTTCCTGTTATTACTATTAATTTAAACATTTTATTGTACAACTTTCTTCGGTGCTTTTTTGATTATGTCGTTCTGCGTGAATTTGTGTAGCTCTTGACACCCCAACAATTCCAGGCTCCGCTTTAAATTACGCTCAAGCGGTACAAGTATTATGTCGTCTACTGCAACGGTCCGGATGATTTGACAAAAATTAACTCAAGCGCTACATCAACGTTTAATTTTCAGTCAAACAAATTGTCGTGCACAAACCGGTTTTTATCGGCGCTACAGGTGGTTTCATAATAACGGCAAAAATGACGCTGCAAATACTTAAAATTTTTATCCAGAGCAACAAATTTTTTTTCGAGATTATCATGCGTGTAAAGAAAATACATCGACGAAAAGAATTTAGCTCCAGGTTTTCTACAACAAAGTGAGTTCACAAAGTAAGTATATATACAATAAGATTATCTAATTCAGTAGTTTATGCTTTTGAGGTTTAGTGTATTTTTGGACATCAAAGTATCAATTCTAAAATCAAAACAATGGTATAAAAAAAGCTTTGGTATTTTTATTTTTCAAAGACGCATATCCTGAATAGCAATAAAAAACATATATAGTGTGATAGAATATGTAGAATGGATAAATTTAAACATCTTTGTTAATTTGTTTTGTTTCGAACTGGATTTCAAGTAATTAATCTGGAACTGCTGTAGATGGCACGCCTATGCAAATATTAGTACGATATTACGAATTCTTTGAGTTATTTCAGGTACCCGACGAATTAAAAATATATTACTACAATTTCTTGCAAATAAAAGACCAAAAATTCTCGCACAATTTCTTAAATTAAAAATTTTAAAATTCTGGTTTTTTCTCATGAATCGTATTATTATGGTTTTGATATCATAAGATTATACGTTTAGTTTCATACTTCGTGAACAACTGTATAAAAATGTAACAATTTTTTGAGAAACAACTGCCAAATAAAACACAACGAAAGTGGAATTAGAGCTGGCTGTTATTTTAAACTTCATCATGGAAGTGTCTGAATACTGAAATACAGATTTATTAAAACAAACATCAAAACTATTTTTAACTCTACAGCGTTCTATTTTAAACCACAACTTAGTGTTTTTAAATGAAACACCCTGTATTTCTTGAGATATTTTGATTGACCTTTTCTTACCTTTTACAACCACAGTTTACTTTTGAAATTCCGATGCGACGTTGCCACGTTATTCCATTTTTCTCGAAATTTTTTGGCAATGGAAAAGTTAACAAAAAATCGCAATAGGCTTCTTTTTAAAGCCTGTCTTACAATATTTCGTGAAATTTTTTTTAGAAGTAATATGGCGATGAGTCCCTTAAAAAAGTAACAAATCTCTGGAACTATCAACTTTAAATATAGAAAATACTCAGCAAAAAATAAAGAGAAATGCAATAATAAAACATAAAACTGAAATATCGATATTTGAAAATTGTAATAACTAAAACATTTTTATAAACACTCTGTATATGAAAAATAATTTATACTACAACAGAGCGCGTACCTTTCTTTATCTCTCTACAAAATGTTGTAATACAGATAACTCTAGTGTGATTTTTTTGCGAACATTTTCATTGCCAAAAATATTCAAGAAAATTAGAATAACGTGGCAACGTCGCATCGTGATTTGAAAAATAATCTATTGTTGTAAAAGCTAAGGGGAGGTCAATCAAAATATTTAAAGATATATTGGGTGTTAAAAAACCAAGTTGTGTGTTTTACGCCTTAAAAACAAAACACTCTGTATAGTTAAAAATAAATTTAAGAGTATAGTGAAAATGAAAATTTTAACAATTGTTAACATTATATTATTTAACAATGTCTTTCGAAACGTCAATTCAAAACGACCATCACTTAATATCGATTCAACATTTCGGAATATACTTTACAGATAGTAATTCTTTCAAAATTCATGTTAGTGTTAAAATGTCAACAACAATATGAACTAGATAATAGATTATCTAATGAAATAGAAGAAATTAACAACAAGACAATTATGAACAGAAGGAATGTTCCTTAAGCATTGTAAAACGACAGACAGACAGACAGGCAGGCAGGCAGACAGATGGACGGTCATTCTATAATTCAAATAAAAAAATGTATTCTTTAAGTGGTATTTATAATTTTAATTATGATTAATTAACAATTTTGCTCGCTTAGCGCAATTGTGATGAAAAATAACTGAACCTCTATCTGCTGTGTCTTGGACTTAATTCCTTATCAAATATCAAACGAGACGTAATTTTTATAAAATGATGCGACCTACTCGTCTCGTATCACAACGTCAAAAAATGAGGTGATTGTCGGATTTGTTGACGACATGGAACCAAAACAATGTAGTTATATTTCGCAAAACAAGTTTTCAAGTGGAGATCGTTAAACGTTTGTTAAAAATTCTGTGACTTGTATGTTCGGTCTAACGCATAAAATAGTAACTCCGTTAGTGTATGCTTAGTAGTCGAGTCGGAGTGTATATTTGCAGAAAATTTGACCACTAATACTCTGCCTTGTTTAGTTTGGAGGGCCCAGGTCCCAAATTGCTCATACGCCGAATTTGTTTGAACTGATCTCAGGCATGTGTGAGTTACGCGTGTTTCCCGAGTTTCGTGTTCCTATCTATACCATATAGTTATGAAGTAATTTGTAAATTGTTTTAGAAGTTCCATGTTTACAAGGCAAATCGCGTACAACGCAAGTGTGTTCGAATGCCTCCGCTTAATCCCTAGAATATCCTAGCTAATGGATTTAATGTGAATGCGGTGCGAGAATGTGTGTCGGAAGCTTTAACACTTTGCTTATTTCACAATTCCAGATGCACATAAGTTCATTAACGACGAGCGTATTTATTTGGTGGGTTTGGTTCGGAAGCACAGCAGCGTTCGCGCTGCCTAGAACTAAAGAATACAGAGGATCAAGCGAAGTTGTCTCGGGCAAGAATGGCGTCGCAGGGGAGCCAAGCTGCGAAGAGCTGAAGGCGATGTGGAGGTTTTCCAAACGTCAGAGCAGAGCAGCAGAGATCACAAATGAAATACCCATGTATAGAGACCCCTTTTCCGATAACGTTTGGGAACCTTATTATGCTACCTCTAGGAGTATGGGAGGGTAAGTGAATACAACCCTAATAAAAGTCTATACTTTATTACCTCGGCGGTTTTTGCCACTTACCATTACAACAGGTTTATGGACGATTTTACGATCAGATTCAACTTATTTCACTTTTTCTTTTCATCTTGCTCGCTTACATCTCTACCGAGATCAACAACGAATCAATAATTGCGGACAACACGTTTACAACGACTTACATCGACGTTCCCCACTAAATTCTACTTTACTAGCTTATAAAATAAACTTTTCTACACGCCGTACCGTCACAAAATTTCTTGCCATCCCTTTCAATAAATATTTTATAGTCGAACCGAAAAACAACTAGTGCAAAAAATGTAAAATTACCTTAACGTCAATTCCAATGTCACTACCTTAACTTGGACAACAACATTCTATATCTCTTAAACCTCATGTTAACCTTTTTGCAACGCACATGAGTATAATTACCACTAACGTATTGTTACGAAACAAACCCATACGACAACCCAGAAAAACCTCGAAACGGCGTTTTCGATCCATCGAAATAGAAGGCACCGTTGGGAACGATTATTACTGAATCAGTTGTAACAGTATCTATCTATATATATATTAGGTACAACTAAATAAATGATCATCTTAATCCATATGAAAAAGCACATCTTTTACGTACGATCTGTGAATCGGAAAATTTGGTGTAAAACCTAGAACTGAAGCTGTAAATGGGAAGGCTAATCGAGTCAGCGCAAGTATCCAGAACAAAAGCGTAAATTTATGCATTGGATGCGCCTCAATTTCATGTCCATTACCTCCAAAAATTGCTCTATTTCCGTAAAAAAAATTATCACAGAAGCTTTGCAATTTCCATTTATTTCTAATGTGAAAAGTCTAACTAAATATCAATTCCGACGGAACGACCCCAAGTAATGAACTCGATATGTAATCACCAAACAACCTCAAAACTCAATTATCTGCATTAATCGCATTAATGAGCATTATGTATAAAGCCAGGGAGAAACTAAAACAAGGGAACGTTACATGTTCATAAAATTACAAATCGCTGTTATCTAAACGAGCTTCAATTTTATTTTCCCCCATTGCACGTTACAAAAAGGCTATTGTGAACGAACAGCCATGTTAAAATAACACAGATATGGTAGGCGTTTTTCACAAAGACGAAGATAATTAGAGTTATCAAATATCGAAGAAAATCCATCATAAGTTTGTCGTCAAGTCTGTAACAAGCTAAAAAGAAATTCAATGTAAACTGTATAAATATCGATGTTTATAACGAAGTTTGCGCCTTGTCTGCTCGCCCACATAACAAAATGAGGAATAAGTAAAAATGTGTTTGCTACTCGTAGTAAACGATATGTTTATTAACCGTGTTGGATAATGGAGCTCATTACTCACAGCGTGAGTAATGAACCAATCGACTTTTAATTTAAAAAATATGTATAAAATGGACAGTTCTTTTCTTTTGTGACTGGTCGCAGAAAAAGAATGTTATTCTACTCGCGTGTATCGGCGATTATTCATTCGGCTGATTTACCACATTCGCTGCGACTCATGTGCCAAACTTTATCCCCAAGAGTAATCGCCATCATTACACGCTTGCTGAATAATATACTAATAATAAATCCATCGTAGTAATTTAATAAAATTACAGCTTTGTTAGTTCTTGTCTCGTGAGACAGTTGACATATCGTTAGTTCGTGACCCAGTGCACTGCATTGCAGAATCTCGTCGAAGACGCTCTACAAAAAATACACATGTCGAAACTAATAGAAATCCTAATAGAAAAATCGTTCAGACGTTTAATATCTCGAAGATGTTGTTTTCAAGAAATAAATCGAAAAAATATCTTTGTTTGTGAGCAAGAAAAATATGTATATCGTTCCAAAATTTCAACCTTATTAGAACAACAAAAGATACTTTCCACCAAGCAAAAAACATATTTTTTCCTTGAATAACACTGCTAAGTAAAAATGCTTCGCGTCACTTTTCTTTGAAATTAACAAAAACGACATAAAACGAAGCTCTATTAAAAGGAAACCATAAAAATATTTCCGGGCTTCCACAGATAGCTGTTTACCTGTGGAAATAAATCGATTATGGATGACAATTATTATTCTTTCCTCGTACAAAACACGAAACGTGTTCACCAGTGGGCGTAATTTTATTGAAATTTGTCGCAAAAATTGGGAACAATTGGAATTTTTTCAAATTGTTTGCATATATTGAACAGAAGTTCGGAATGATGAAATATTGAATAAAATATCACACGGCGTTGAGAAATTGAGGGCATATCGGAGAACAGACAAATATGGGACCACCAGCATGATTATAAAGATAAAACGACTGTTACCGAACGTTACATTACACGTGTTATAGTAAATAGGGGCTGTGTTGAAGCCGTAGGTGCAAATCGTCATTAGCTAAACCTGGCAAATCCGTTAACTGTGGGAGCTAATTAACAACCAACACTTGTTCGCACTGTGGGCTCCTCTAACCAACTGGAAAGCCTATTTCGTGGATTCTAGATCTTGAATTTTCAAAAAGTCGAATATTTACACAATTGGCAAACTTTTCAAGAAACATTTTCCGGGTAAGTCGAGAAATACGAAAGGATAAAAAAATCTATTTCTTAAAGAATAATTATTGTTGACAATGAATATTAATTTCTCAGTGGGGCACAGTGAGCATTTGTTGTACTAGATTTAGTCTAATTGTGAAAATGTTTGCGTATCTTTCATGAATAGAAAGCATTAACCGTTTTCATTACATTTGCAGATAAATCAAAACAAATGTTTAGTAGCGAATCATATTTTATTATTGGTAATTACAGAACTTGATACTCGCTGCTGAAATCAGGGTTATAATTTACTTCGAACAAATCCATTTATTTATCCTTTCCCGATGTGAACACTGATCGGTTCGACATAAATCATTTAACAGATTTGCGGCTTCCAGTTGAAAGCCGTATACCTGAGTGTTCCTCCAATTTATTATAATTCATCTTCAGTCGAAGTTGCAAGTTACGGATATAATCTTCATCTCAAACTTATTTGATAGTTGTTTAACAAGTTATGCCCTATCTACATTGTTTTAAACTATTTTTGCATGAACAAAGTCCCCCATTCTAATTTTTAATCAAAATGAAATAAGATTGGCAGTAGTAGGGGAAGTCGGGGTGAAGTGGTATCCGGATCAAGGAAAAATATTAGTATATTTTTTAAATAGTAATTTACCGATTTTACGAATTTCTGACGCATTTTCCGTTTTGTCCTACATAGTACATAGACAAGTAAAGTACAAACATTTTCACGATTCACTATATCATTTCATTGCCACTAAAACGCGGGTTTTGTAATACTATAAAGATATCCGCCGACAAAAATAATGGTCGATTTATGTGGAAGTTATTGAAACGTTAAAAATTTGATCACAAAAATGTAAAGAATGACAAACGTTTGTATTGCCACTTTGCCCCGGCTTCCTCTACATGTCAATTCACCGATTTGGGTTTTGTGGGACGATCCAATAACAGATCGATGCACGATACGGACGAGACGCTCTTTTTTACATACTGTAGTGCAAGGGTGACTGATATAATCTGTCAACGGAAATATAGATCTTAAGACGAACCGGATATTAACTATCCGTGACCACTCAATACCCGATCAGTTTTAGGAAGCTTAACTTCCGGGTTCTCTCGCAGGTTTAAAGTTACTTATTGTAATTGGAGTTTACATTGATGACCATTATTTACTGCCTCTCTGACAGATCCGCTCTATTAATGGCGGTTTTATCTGTTTTAAAATAATGAGATCATCAGGTCGGAATCAAATTTTCTTCGTTTTCATTCACAACTCGTGGAACAAAGAACAGCGGTTTAACTTTGCCGATTACTGAGTTATGTCTACATTGTTGGATTTTAAGAAATTCATCTCGCAAGAATGAACTACTTTGTGTTAAGGTTCATTATTTAGCTTTATCGCTTGCGCGCGCACGTTTTTTAACGAAGAGAAATTCATATTTAAACTGGCATCGAAATACAACATCATCGGGACACGGACAAGGGTAAATAAGACTGTGTACTAGCGCTAGCGGCCATTTGCGACCCTTGGTTTCTGAGCGATCTTACGACGTTGAAGACTGAAGACTGAACTGAAAACTAAAACTAAAAGATGTTTTGTACGAATTGTAATAACCGGATAACAATGCCGACAGTCCAGACTTTTTTATTGCTCTGATTTCCGCTTATTGAATAAAACACTAGATTTTATTTTAATTTTCGATGCTGTAATTCACATTTGGTTAATTATAACTTGTCTAGATCTAGGGGAGGCTCAGCATTCCCTAGCCTCCACCTAGCTACGGCCTTGTCTAGGGGTTATGAAATATCGCAAAAATAGGAAAGCACCAAATTGCCCGATGGACTCCATTACTGTACGTCCTTAGCTTATCCTCGAAAGTGTTTATATTTATACATCGGAAGAATGTCACGTAGAACATTAAATAACACTCGTTCTTAATTTGATCAATAAAAAATATGAATGCAATGATCAATCACAAGTAAGAACTCATCATATTTTGCACATTTTAGATAGGATTCATTCGGCAAAATTTTGAGATGACGTAATAAATTTTTTTGGGTCGATAAACAGATACATTTTGATTACAAAGTTACCATGCTTACAATCACTTAAAAACGTGTACAAAATTTCAAAGTAATCAGTTTTGCAATTCTTGATTTAATCAAAATAAATCGACTCAGTCATTAATTTTTTTCACACACCCAGTATAAGCAAATCTAAAAAATATTAATACAGTGATAGATCACAAGTATTGACTTTGCATATATAAGACAGGAGTTATTCAGCAATATTTGGAGGTAACGTCATCAATTTTTTAGGGGGGGATGAGTCCGGATGAGCAAATACATTTTAATCAAAAATTTACCATGCTTATGTGTAGGACTATGTTATTTTATACAATTTAAAACCCATTTACCATGTACAATTTTGACGTGACGTCATCACATTATTGGAGGGGATGATTAGACAAATTTTGCTGAGCGTTTTATGATCCACATGATATTACTAATATAAATACAAAATTTGACAACAATCGGCTCAGTATTTTCGGAGATTATCTTTCTAATAAAAATCCGGGACGGCAGACAGACGGACAGACGGACAGACAGGCAGACAGACAAACAGACAGACGACAAAACGTAACGTAACGCTTACGCTCGGGAAGCAAAAATTGGTCGAAAGTTGTTTCGACAGAACTTCCCTCGCTCCTAAAGTACAATGTGCAGTGTAACACTAAAAATAACACTATTGTATTTCCAAAATTTTCTGGAAAAATGGAATGAGCCTTTTCTGATTTAATCAATAAATAAATTGACTCATTCATTAATTTTTTTGAATCTCCAATCTAAAAAATTTTATTTGCAACTATAAATCACAACTAAAAATTCATCATATTTTGCACATTTTTTGGGTAGAATTTACTCGGCAAAATTTTGAGATGACGTCTTCAATTTTTCGCTTACAATAATTTCAAAACGTATGCGAGATTTCAAAGTATTCAGTTTTGCAATTCTTGATTTATTCAATAAAATAAACTAACTGATTGATTAATTTTTTGAGTAAGCCTGTATAAGCAAAACTAAAAAATAAGGTTCTTAATTTGATCAATAAAAAATTGGTCGAATCTGACAAATCCAGGTCTTTAAAAAGGTTATAAAATTTTATTTTACAATCTTCGTTTTGTGATAACCGCTGTAAAGTAAAAACCAGACACATAAATAACACCCCTTGTCCTTCAACACTTGGTAATAGCAATCTGACGCTCAATTTATTTATTTTTGTACATCGAAAAAATGTCACGTAGAAATTAGCTTGATTTGAATGAGTTTGTCTCTAAACACAGGACTAAAAATTATTAATTAAACCACAATTGAACAAGATGTTCTGAATATTATAATAATAATGCAAAACAAACACGAATTTGTATTTAATTGCGTTTTTAATTCAAACATTTCACAAGCGATGTGTGTAGTTCACGGTCCGTGCATCGGGATGTTTAAAAACCTAGATTTAACACCAGAGAATCGACATCATCGACATAGTAACGCTTATCAAAGAAACAAAACTGCACTCCATAAATCTCAATTTATGTTGACAGTTACCCTTGTGTCACTAAAATTGGTATGTAATTCTCTGTCACGCTTGACGAATAAATTTGAAACAGACAATCTGCTTTGTTTTCTCTTCAGTATCGTAATAACTTTTGTATAAACTTAAACTTTGCGCCAACAAGTGACAATAATTGTGGTAGGAAAAAATTAATTTCCAGTGACTACAAACCCTTATTAGCCTCCCTGTTCACAAAACTGAGCAGAAAAGATATATTGTTTATTGATATTGTTGATCAGCTGCGAAGGAACATAATAAGTTATCCTTGGTGTTCCTTCAAGCTATTAAAAAAATTGCCCGTTGAATTGAATTATGCTCTACATCATGCAGACGTCCCTCAACTGAATTGCGCTTAATCTTGGCGCTTGGGCGCGGTAGTTTGATACAAAATATAGTCTTTTAAAGTACGATAATATATTGTTATTACTAATTAGTCTCCGTAACGCAAAACTCTAACGAGATATTATTATTTAATGTCAAAGTTAGGCATCATAGAGTCTCAAAGATAGCTAATAAAAATAAAAGCATGCACTAACGATCATTAAAGTGGGTTCTTCTTCCACGACCGATTTAATTAGAATGGATGGTGAAGCAATGTAAAACGATGTCGCAATCTTATAATGTTCTGTTTATTGATTTGGAAGCACGGGACTTTAGCGTTATTTTGTTAGCGGTTATATAAAAGCGACCATAATCACTCATCTTGCCCTGAATTTGATGAATTTTTCGAATCTCCTAATGTATTGCTTTTCCGCGCAATGGGGCGGAAAAAATAGTGACATCATTTCAACGCAAAGACCCATTTGGGGGCGAACAACCAATAGCTTGAGCACAAAAAGTAGGAAAGATAGGTTTTAATCGATACAGTAGTGGTAATTATTCTTGTTTGGTAGCTGCTACAAGTATACAGAGTGAACAATTTTACTTGACTCTTAAATAATAATAGCTACGGAATTCAACCGTCTCTGCACTGATTTTTTTTTCCAGTATGCGAATGGGCGGCAAGTCCAAAGGCCGGCCTGTCTTTGGTCGCGTGTATTACAAGGCCCCATTACGCATCCAAGACTTGGCCGAAAGAAATCGAGCCTTCGAAGAGGTAGCCAAGATGTATGGAACGGTTCAGAGACAAACCGAGCCAAGAAGGAGGATAACAGCGTTCAGATTGTCAGGAGGAGGTCATCTACCTTCCCTCGGCCTTACTCCACAAAGTGGAAGTTTCCAGCATCTGAAGGTGAGTATTTGCATCCCTCACGTGCTCATTCTCGAATGTTCATCCCAATCAAATATTAAACGATGCCGACGCTCTATTTATGCCAATGCAACAAACATTAACACTGAATGCTGATGCGAAGCTTCAATATTTACAGAAGTGTAGAAACCACTGCTAACAACCCCTTTTTACGCCGTGAATCACTTGAACGCTTTTTGTCTAATTAGTAAGAGGGATTCACAATTCGGTAATCCTTCTAACTGCGCCATTTTTATACTGCAAAAATTCTCGATTAAATGAAACTTGTGTGATTTAATTTATTTTGTTTGGTCATCCAATGATCGTCGGAAATTTTTGATTGATCAATAAAATAATACACGGATGTACGTAAAACTTCAAAAGGTTTTACAAAAGTGCTGTAAATAAGCTGGCTTTTGTATTATTTAAACTCGGGAATGGAAATTTAGTCCGGACTACACAACTGTAGACCATTATTGTCAGATATTGTATTATTTGATTTTAATGTGTTCCAGCGTTGCACATATTGCATTCGAATTATTCTGTTTGAATTCAGCGACTAACCACATTTCAGATTGAATTTTGATTTTCAGACTTTATTTTAATTTACTGTGGTTCGATTAAATATAAAACCACTATTTTCATTCTAAAATTTGAATTAAAATGAAATCCGAAAAGAAAATATATAATCAAAGCACTGAATTCGCAATAATTACTTTTTGTTATTAAAAATGCTACAATGAGATTCATATATTCAGCTTTATGAATAACAATTGTTCGAGCAGTCGGTCGTTGGGCACAACCAATTAATATTTATTCAATTCGACAGTTTAATTTTAAATTACAATTAATAAAAAGTCCAATTAAACATCATGTTTTTCCTGCTCTATTGAATATGTTCGTTCTAAATACGTTGCTTCAACAACTTTTCAGAAAAGAAAATCAAATTTTTTGTGGAAATGATCATACCAATTTTAATTGGCGTTTTACCATAAACACTATACTCCCAAAATGCCAAGAATATTTCAAAACAATCAGTCCAGTAGTTTCGGAGATTATCTGCCTAATAAAATCGATACAACCGATAAACAGACAGACGCCACATAGACGGAAACGGGGTACCTAATTTTTCATATTCTAGGAGTCACGAAACGTCGAGAAAACATGAGTGTAATTCTTTGTCGAATGGACCCTACTTCTGGAAATAAAAATGAAAAAATTGGTCCCTCGCTCCTGAAATACACTAAAAGAATCCGATTGTTTAGAAAGAACACTGCTTTTGATTGGAAGGCAGGATGTTACAAAAACACACTCTGTTGACTTGTTTATATTTGGTCTAGTGCGGAGTCTCAGTTCACACTTCTCCACCTACCAATTGTAGGAAACGGGAAATTCGATTAACAAAAACTTATTTCCGCCTTGTAAAAATTTTTATAACCACTGATGAAGCCAGGCGAAGTTGCAGACGACACGTCTGGAATATTTTAAATAAATACACGTAAATAATTTAGTTCACTAAATGTTATCTATCTAACGAAAATCAGCACAGGGCCGACGATAGACTACAGAGGCAGACGGAGTGAAAGGAGAGATCTATGTTTTCATGCTTTAGGGGTTATGAAACGTCGAGAAAACCTGAAAGTATCCATTCGCCAGATGGATCATATTACATTAGCTTATGCTCGGGAAGTGAAGAATCTAAATTTCCCTTAGATCGGCTTTGCTCTAGATCTGTTAGTGTAATTGCAACTGCTGATGTAAGCGTCATGGCTAACTAGAGCAGAAATTTAAAAAATCACCCGATATTTATGGTTCCACTTCCTGATTTGACTATGATACTTTGTAAAACGTTTTGAAAGTAAAATTATCAAACATGATTACTCGTATCGGATGAAACGCAAGCACACAAAATGTTGAAATTTGAATTTAAATTTAATGTATACAGCAAAAACTTTATTATAAAAAAAATGGCGCAGACATTTAATTGAACTCTTTCCGTACGTAGTAGCAGATGGTCCGAAAAGTTAGATGAATCGATTAGTGAGCATAGGCCAAAGTTTAGTTTGATTGAAGTTTATGTTTTGTTAGATTGTATCATTTACTGGGGAATGGATTTTGGGATAATTGCTTGTTTTTGCAGGAGCTAATTAGAACAGAGCGTGCCAGAGAGCTGCAAGAACAGCGGATGGCGGAAGAAGTAGCAGCTCGTGCAGCCGCTCTTAAGGAGTTAGCTGGAAGTCACCGGAGTCAGGCGTAAGTTATTAACATTATAACTATATAAATTAGTTTGCGAAAAGAAAATTTTCGGACGAGTTGTAATAAGCCACCACACGACCGCGTTGCCTTTTTAGTCAAATCGTTTATGAATTTTCCGACGAACGGCAGATTGTGAGGGATTATTTAAATACCCTGAATCTAAATATTAATTTATTTTTCATGCCCTCATGGTCTACCTCAAACAATCTTATTTATCTTTAAACTCGCTTTGAGGATTAACGGCAAAAAGGACACGAAAATATCGTCTCTAAGTCTCAACTTAGAATCTTCTTGTGGGGTCTAAAGGCGATTGATCCTGAAATATGGGCTAGCGGTAAATTTAATATTTCAATAATAGCCTCCGATAGTCGGTTTACCTCAAAGGAGAAACTTTAACACAAACTAACTTACTCAGAAGCAAATAAAAGTAAGACAGGAAGGAACAGACAATTCCATCTAGTAAAACTATCCTTCAACCTTCATTACGCCCGTTGTCACACTAATTGTTCATTCAGGATGAATTTAACTTCCACGAGAGATCGATTTATCATATTCTGACAACGACTTGTTATTCAGTTTATACTCTTAATTTATGATCGCGGAAACTAACTGCTTTAAAACCTATTTGTGTCCACCCCTGCAACAAAAACTCTGTTATATTTTCACCCAGAGATTCACATATTGAACATCACTCAAAGCCAACTCCACATCAAAATGTTTTCGATCGCATGGAAATACGTAGGCTTATTAATTTTTTCTTTAAATATTTAATCGTGTTATGCTTAATATTAGCCACGGATATAAACAAATACCAGTGAACACTGGCACGAACAAAATTTAAAAGACACCAATGAAAAATTCAACGTTTTTATAACGATCTAAGAACCCCAGCCGACTTGATGAGCATTATGTTAATAACCATCTCGAGATCACCGCCTCCGAATTCGACGATAGTCCTTCATCGTATTAAGCAATGAAAGAATCACGTCCGTTCACATTTTAAAAGATTTTTTACTTTTTGTGGAAACTTCGATCGTGTTGTGCTATGAGAAGCATATCACATCAGATGTTTAGTGGCTATTTTATCGCCATATTCTTAACATACTTGTTGATTTTAAAATTGATTTTGTAGCAGATTTGAAAACATCAAATCCACATTTTGGCATTTGTAACTAACAACTTAAGGAAAACGCGTGCATGGTGCACGGGGCAAATCGTTCCAATTTTTGTTTTGTTTGGTTCTTTGGTGTCAAATTTGTGCGAACGTTATAGATTTATAACCTAAAAGTCAATCTCTTCGGCGCCGTGGGCGTGAGCATGTGTCATTTGAGGCTACATGAAAGCAAAATAATATGTTACTGTAAATCCGTCGTCGGCTGTGTTTGATCGTGCAGGAATCTCATTTTGCGAGTGAAAGATGGTTGCACAGTCAAAGTAATATGCTGAAAATACAATATTGCCGGTCTTGTTTTCACATGTTGCCTTACGTGTTTGGCACAAAACGTTCAATATTTCCATCCGAACTAGAAGCAAGTGCGTGTCGCCCCATAAATTAGAATCATATCTTTTCTTTTATTAAGTCGATTAGCATTTAAAGTGTTTTAAAAATTTCGTTTTGAAGCTAAAGGGAAACTGGGCTTAATTCGCCATTTCCTGGTTTTCTCGTAAATATTTTAACACGATTATAGCTTCTCCTGGAAATAAACGTAATCTGTGTAAATTAATAAAGAGGATTGGGTTAAATTAATTATAATGTAAGGGAAACTTGTACTCGTCTTAGTCACTGAATGGGTCGATAAGATCTCCGCCCAGACGCTCTCTAATTTACTGCCACGTTTTTGGAGTCGATAAAATCCATACTTAGACTTGGTTTACATTTCTTAAAAAATATCGTGGAACAGATTGGATGTGTAATTAAAAAGAGGATTAAACTTTACGTGCTTTCGACTTGGCAACAACTTATTACCTGCACAATAGAGCAACCACTCGAGACACCTACTTCTCTGGATAGAACCCACGTTTTAATTCGAAACGTCTACCACGCCATTGTATTTATTATTATGTCTAATCTGTGTTAAACAAAATCATCGAATGGACAAAAAATAGCATTCATAAGCCGTGTCTGCATCTGAATAACAATACAAAACTGAAAACAATAAAACTTGTTATTGTTCCGTCACGTTTCTTGAAACGCTCAAAATCTGCATACACCACAAAAGGTTAAAGGAATTAGAGTACCTCGTAATTATTACATCATAGTTGGCACTCTTGCTCGTGACTGTCACATCACGCTGTCAACATGTTTTGAGGTTAAAATTAATTATTACGTTGACAGTCAAATATACCTCTCGCGACGTTTACGAAACAGAAATACAAAACAGAATTACCGATTGCAGTTTTAGACATAACCACGACCTATCCAATCCAATTTTTCCCGCATTACATGAAAAAAAATGTGTAACGAATCCACGAGACGTATAACAATTTATTTTATTGAATAATCGCGAGAAATTTTATTTTCTGGTGTTTATTTAGGTTATGCGGTGAAATACAAACACGATCACGTCAACAAAGAACGTCTACAACCACGAAAAAACGATTCTGAAAAAAGTGTTATTGTTTGTCCATGTTGACCTTATTTCGTCTGGTTGTTCGGTGCTCCAATTCGCTTGATGTGAGCATACCTTTGATAGCTACTTGATCTTTTCCAATCAAACCTACAGAAGCGTGAAAGTTTAAAAACTCGAAAATATTTCTAAATAAAGCGAATCAGCAATAAAGTGATAAAAGGGCGTTATTAAGGGAATTTCAAATAAAAAACAGGTCTTTACTTATACGTATAAGCGATAAATTATTTTAAGAATAAGATTATTAGTTACATGAAGGATGACTTCTGTTCGTGACATCTTTTTTCCGTCGCAATCAAACCAAAACGGGTTTAAAAATCTCTTTACAACTGATAAATGCCCTTCACAAAAAGTTTAGATTGATGGCGAACTTTTTTTGCCGTGGAAGTAAGTTTCCCAGGGCAACTCAAAGCAGAATAATTTGTCAATAGATTGCCCCCTTTATAACAAAGTATTCGAAAATAAATCATTATTCTTAACTACTAGACAACATCTAGTATTTTTTTATATACATATTGGCCGTTTTTTGTAAATAAAATCTAGAAATCGAAACAGTGCTAATTTTTTTTACGTTTACAGTTACAGAAAATACATAGTTTTCAATTTCATATGCCAATCGGATGAAATAATAAATACTTTTTGTTATACCTATTACGTAGTCGTCGCATGGACACAGCATAATGAAGTTATACTCCAAAAGTGATACATAGTTCCATACAAATAAACTTCTCAACAAATCTGGAACATTCGGCGTGCAGTTACGAAATTCGGTCTAAACAACATTTTATAAAATGTGAAAAAATAAATAGTGTGCACCATTTTTCGTTAATGCTCTGATAGAACCAGATGCATTTTCTTTTAAAAAGTTTTGTAATTAATTTTTAATTATTTGATGATGTAATTACGTTGAGACGATCCTACATTAGAGATGGACGCTTTAACGCTAACTTTAATGACCGGAAATTTTCAATTAAGAAGTTCGACAGCGCCTTAATAAATTAAAATGATTTCTCATTGGGTAAATGGAATGCAAAACACCACGATTAGGGACAACTTTTATACATGCCTTTGCAAATTTCTAGGCAGAAGATTTATTCAATCCACGGAGTGCTGAATTCTACGTTTTTTATTTAGGGTTACTGGAATTTTAAAAACAGTTAAAGATATAACTTCGGTGAAATTTTTAAGAGGAAAATTGGACTTCTGACGACTGATAATAATCTGCGAAACTTTTTATTACTTTCAGCGGTTTTAAGACTGTGGTGAAAAAACTGGCTGAATGTTATCGTCTCGTTCCTGAAGTACAATTAAATACACTCAGTCGGTTATTAAAAACGATATAGATATTACAAATCGCAGGGTAAAGAAACAGTGCTCAATGAGCGGCCTTCATGTTAGTAACCCGTGTAAAACCTTAGTAAAAAATTGTGAAGGCGGATGCATAAACCACCAGTATTATATATTATCTGTTTCATAAAGTTAGACACAGGCAGATAGACAGAAAGACAAACGAACAAACGGAAACCATTCAAAGAATGGACAGTACTTCCATGGCTTACGCTCGGCAACTAAAAACTATAACTTTAAAACTTTGAGAGTTAAAGCCAATTTAAACTCGTTAGGATGGATGCTCGCTATGTTTTGTATCTCAAATTAGTTTAAGTAATCCGGGATTATTAAATTAGGATTCTCATCCAATTTACAAGACAAGTTCTAACTGACGTGCAAATTAAATATACTTTATTAAATTTTGCGGTTTGTGAAGCAACTATGTTTTTATGTAACAGACATCCTCTATATTTTTCAATTTTTTTTTTGTTGTAACTGCGCCCCAAATATTTATTAAATTAATTCATAATAAAAATATCATGCTCCCATTGCGCTTTGAAGTTAAAATTATTTGCCACATAATAACGCAACATTCACAGAAGAGAATTAATCTCCTCACCTTTAAACGAGGCTTTAAGACAACAAGAAATTCTTTTTTACTTTCTGAGCGTAAGCTAATCAAGTATTGTGTATATAGTACGAAACAATGGTTCTCCCGTTTCCGTCTGTCTGTCTGTCTGTCGTCTGCTGTCTCTCCGGATTTTATTACTGGACCGATTGTTGCCAAATTTTATACATATGTTATGAATATGGTCTAGATGGTAACGCCATCGTCAGAATTTACACTTGTGTTTATACTTTTGGAAAAAATCAAAATTCTATAAAAACGACAAAACCGAATGCTGTGAAATCTTGCAGATGTTTTAACGTCATCGTAAGCATTGCAAATCGTTCATCAAAATTGATTCGCTTATTCCGTCCCAAAATACATTTAATAAAATAACATAATCGTGCACTTGTGGTTTATGAATCAGTGTTCAGCTTTTACCCTAGACATTCAGATGTTTGAAAAAAAATGAAAATAATATAGCAACATTTTACAATTGAACTTTGAAATATCAAAATTTATCCATTTATGTGCCCCTCCAATGATGACGTTATGTTACAATTACAATAACATATTCTTTTGCAGAAGTTTGGAAAAAAAATCAAAATTGTATAACAACATTTTACAATTTAGCTTTGGAAGCGGAAAACCGAATGTTTCGAAAAAATGTTCTCTCATTTAAAGTGTAAAATATTTTTAATCTATTCATGCCTTCATATTTTTTTTATATTATAAAGATTATTACCAAAAAATAGCAAAATGTAATATTATAAGTTTTTGGAAGAAGCGGGATTTATTTGCTTGTACTTTGGTGGCGAAGGAAATTCTGTCGAAATAACTGGGTCTTTTTGACGTACATCTAAGTTCATTTTACGTGTACACAATTTATAAAATACGTCTCTAGTTTCCCTCTGCGTGTCGTCTTCCGTATGTCTGCGCGATGATGATTTTATTAGACAAATAATTTCCAAAACTACTGGATTGATGATACTTTAGGTACTTTAAAAATATCACCTGGAAATTAACCCGTTAATCCAAATTTGTCTATACATATCAAAATTTTGCTTAAAGTAAATACGATTTAAAATGTGATAAAAATCGATATTTTTAACTTTAGAGACATCGTAAAAAATAAAGTTTTCACAACAAAATTTTTACAATTCTCGTACGGTTTTTTTTTATTTAGGTAATACGCGAAGGTTGATTACAAAACAAAATAACGTTGACAATGTTACATTGTACATAGAAAAATTAATACGGTTAGTTATCCTTGGCAAAAATTAGTACACAAATCTTTACACATAAATACGTAACATACACCCATTGTGCTCTCGAGGCGATGAAAGTTCTGTTTAAATAAGTTTAGGCCAATTTTTACTTGGCGAGCGTGAGCTAATATTATAATAAGGTCGTAAATTAGAGAGTACCGACATGGGAGAAGGAAATTAAAAATCCGTGTTATTAAAATTAAAAATAAAATTAATTAGTTGGGAAAATGAAAAAATAGCAAAATAAATATTAATCCATTCAAAATGTGCTCTCGCTTGAAACAGGTTTGTCATCGCTGTATGTTATTTCAAGCGTGTTACTAGGACAGTACTAAATGGTACCTATACAATCAAAATAAGATAAAGTGACAATAAAATTCACTTTTATTAAAATATAACCGAATAAATTTCTCACTAAAACAAAATCTACACTAAATTTTCGTAGGGCAACCAGCAATTAATTAACCCACGACCCCCCAACTGGTAGTCCAGCGGACTTTAACCATAAACTTCCGAGGATTCTACTTGTCGCAAGCAAAAGACATGGTGCAACCTAACATTTATTGATTTAAGAATAAAAAAATAGTACTTATGGTACTTACTGCGCAGTCAACCAGGTTGTCCTGGACGGTTTTGTCTGGTTTGGTTTTGAACGGTTTATTCACGCGCAGCTTGATTGATTGTTATAGTACGATTTAGCTCGGTGGTACTGCTTTAGTAAAAATTTTTGGCCGAAGACTGTCGGTGCGGACGCTTTGCGAATGTAGCACTAGTTATTGCATCTAACGGAATTTTGTTAACAGAAACTATCGTGATATAAACTACAATTATGACATTGATGGAAGAGAGGATCAGCGAGAAAGTTACATGGGTCGCGGCGGACTTTTAGGTTTCCCAGATTTGTTGGTCCCATCATCTCGGCAAGACCCTGATGACACACGTTTCATCCAAGATTATGGCTATTCAAGAGATAGGCCTAGAGCCCAGAGCTCTTCACTCTTTGACACCAGTTCATTTAACGTCGTAAGTATACGAAATGAGTCGACGTTTCCTGTCTTAGGGCATAAAAGGGTGTGTTTAGGTAATTCAATTAAGTTTATCACGTTATGTCATTATTGGACTTAATTAGCCAGTGCAAGTCAGTTTTAATTAAAATGACGTTGTTGCTAACGCCGCCTACAGAATATTAACTCTGGAAATAAATCACGTCGGCGCTTTTTTAATTAATTGCTGATCTCGAAGATGTGTCTTGCTTGAATTACAACCAGTTGTGTTTTTCAGGACGATTTTGACGGACTGATGCTGTAAAAGTGCGTTAGTGGTCGTCGGAAAGTCCATTTGGTTCAATGTTTTATCCATCATATTATTCCATACAGCTTGTATGCTTTATACTTGAGATTGAACTTTGACTTTGACGTGCTATTACACATAATCGTATACAAAACTAGATAGGTTTATTAGAAGTAGGTGTAAAAATTAAGACTATGGAGAGATCTGTAAAATAATGCGAACTCATTGTTGACTCTAAGATATAAATGTTTTATAGTCTTTTAGGATGTGGACTGATTTTTAAATAAATTTTTCGGCAAGGCCAGGATTTTTGGATGCTATTTTGATAAAAATCTTCGTGCAGATACACACTTATTTTTCTATCATTCATATTATTCTTATGTGATCATGAGAGGCTGGTATGATCCATATTCCAATCGCGCCACTGTTACCTTACGATTGTTTTTATCATTTTCGCATCCTCTTGCTTGTAAAATGCCATGACATTTGTAATTAGTACCATTTTATCACGTTGGCCTGATATTTTTCATCAACGATATCCTGTTATTCTAAGTCCACCGATTTTCAGTTTTGAGCCCGTTTAAGATACCACATGTTGGGGATGAAAAATATGAGGTGGTTTCTAATGTCACGACGGACACTATTTTAATGCTTTTTTATATTTGAAAAAAAAAAAGGAACAAACTTGTTAGGTACAATAGATATTGTTGGCACAATCTTGAAACACCCAACCAGAATTATTTTGTTGCGACGGCTTCGGTAATGATGCATATGAATACAGCCATATCACCACCAACACTACAGATCCAAACCGAATAGGAACATATCACAAAATTCTATCAATCAAAAAGAATATCGCTGGTACAACATATCTAGATATTAAAATGGCAGGTATCGTTAAAACATCCGAGCGGCAAGCAAGTTTTCAAACAAAGGCCTAATACCACTTTCAGTATTAATGTTGATATTACATATAACAAGTCTTCCCTAATATTAGAATAACTAGACCCGTAGTTTAAGAATGCAACATCTGCACAGGAACAGTTATCTGTAGTTCATCATCACATCCGCTTACGTTCAAATTTACATCATCAATCTATCTTAACGCGAAGTACAAACACTGGTCAGGTTAGGTCTACAAACCACGAGTGTAAATTTTTACGTAAGGATGTAAAGGTGTGGTACTTGACGGAAAGTTTAATTGAAATAATGTGATGAATTCGACAATAACAAAGTTTTATTTTTTGGATTCTGAAATATTCTGATACATCTATTTAAACTACTTCTAATTATTTAAAGTGCAATTTAAATGTTTAGAATTAGTCGGCTGATCTGCAGTGACAATAAATTTTCGTCAATTTCATCCTATTATTATAAAAAATTATGGAAGGAGTGTCTGTGTTGGCGAAACCAAGGGCCAACGTTTTACCAACATAAATGCTTCGTCTAAATAGAACTAATCATAAGTAGATGTATGTATTTTTAATAGCAACATTCTGAACATTGTCATCAGTGCATGTTTGTATCTGTATTATGCTGTAACGCCCTTTGTCTCCAATCATATCTAACAACTCTCAATCCATTATGTATTCTGTGATGTAAGAAATACTGACAATAGAAACAAACACCTTGTGTGGGGTCTGAATTATCAATTCATTACCACCTATAATAGTAGCAAATTATTTTATATGTAATATTTGTATGTAACTATACGTACCTATAAGCAGAATAAATTATATTAGCAAGCATCAACTCCGTCTTTTAAATCACCTCATTAAAATTATTTAATCCTCAACAACTTTTAATCCTACTTCAGCCACCAACTTCTTTGTCAACTCTGATATCAAACCAACTTCGACTAAGCCAAAATTCAACGACATAAGAATTTAAGTAAGCCCGCTCAAACTCCTCTTACAACGAAAACAACTTAAGATCGCCCACGTAATCACACTTTCCGGCTTCAGATCACACTCGAATTCAAACCCCCGCCACTTCAACCCCGCCAATCACACAACGTGAATTTCAAGATTTCTACAAACTACACGCGTGTTTTCTGATTCGTAACAGCGGCAATAATTTGAACCGAAATCTCCTTCAACGAAACTGACAAGTGACAACTGACATAAGACAAACAAGCTCGTCCTTCGTTCACAGGTAAGTGACCACCTTTTCCTAATTTTCAACCACATATAGCATATCTTGTATTTACGCAACTACACCCCGTCAGGATAGTTGAAATCACCGAACTGAGTTCACGTTACGCCTGGCATATCCGATCTCTGAAAACGGTACACTCAGATGTAAAAGATTACTCTTTTCAGATAAAATCAGTTGCTACAATAACAACGACGTTCTATTTCTGTCTGATTCGTCGCAGTATGAAAGGCTTAAAATCTTTCCACCTTGATAATAATTAATAATACGATATGTCGTCGCTGTAAATTTGTTTCTATAAGCATACTTTTATGCTCGAGTCAAAGATTAAATTACCCAGTCTGGTGGAAATATCATTCTAAGCGACAGCAGTATTGTTTTACCTGTTTATATTTTCGGAGAATTCCGAAAAAGTGTCACGTTGCCACGCAATTCAGAACTTACGTTCCTGAAACAAACGTTTTCAGAAGCAGTCGGTGTATCGTGATGTATTTGACATAATCACAGTACCGTTAACTCTTGATCGAAATGACATATCGCATCTTGGTTTCTGTTTTGCTTTTATTTTAGTAGCTGTTGGACCTTTGTCAAAGTATTGGTGATGTGGCTGCCACATACACGATAACCGTATTCTAAAAGTTAGATTATTTAGCAAGGTTTCAGTTGGAACATGGAAAACAATTTCACTAGATTATTCAACGAACTATAGAGCTGATACTAAATTTTTCTTCTTTGTCTATAAATGAAAAAACGCCAAGGCGTTATGTTGACATAACCGTAGTAAACCAAGCGTTACACACGTCAAATAATTGTCGAGTCCAAGAGAGTGTGAGATGTGCTTCAGACTTAGTAGAGGATAAATACCTGAAAAGTTTCTGACAGGGATGTGAAATCTCATTCACAGCAGCAAAAGAGGTGGAATGTTCTTTGACTGGAATATACTGTTTAACATACTGACGGAGGGACATGAGGACCCTGGAAACAAAAACATAATAAAATTAAATAAAAAATAAATTAATTAATTAAATGATGGGTTTTTTTCCGAAGATACCTCTCTTGATTTTTTTTATTACTTCAATTCAAATTACGACTCCTTCAATGACAGACAAATTAAAAGATTTACATCGTTCGATTCAACCGGAAGTTTAACGCCTATACATATATGAGCTTTCACTACATACCTGGAAAAGCGTTAATTGACAACATGATACACCCTAACCGGCAATATAATTTGGAATTTGATCAAGCAGTTAAATTCTTAGACGAAATTACAGATGAACGTAATATGCTAGAATTGGTTTCTAAATTACCAAAGACGTTCAAGGGGTGTGTACTTGTTATATCACGTTAGTATCTCCTTCAGCCATAAAAGAATCAGAAACCGTTGTAAAAAACGCTTAGATAACTTTTTGAATTAAAATGTTACTGATATTGATTATTTAGTCAAGTTTCGAAAATGTCAAAAATTGGCCGAAATTTGAGACCATTGAAAAAATTTCACTTTTTTAAAAGTTGTCTAAAAATTGCGAAAAAATTCACGAACGTGAATATCGACATACTAATTCCAAAAATATAGTGTGTTGATGGTCACGGAGCACATTTTCGAAAGAATCGCTACGAAATGCGAATTTTTTAAATTTCTAAAAATTTCGATACTTCAACGGTCGATTCCGGAAAAACGGTTGCAGTAATGAAAGAAACGAGGCCGGAAGTGAGTTCTAGAGCTCGAAGTCTATAAGAAAATGTGCTCAGTCAAGTTTCGAAATTGTCAAAATTTGGCCGAAATTTGAAGACCATAGAAAAATTTTCACTTTTAAAAAAGTTGTCTAAAAATTGCGAAACAATTCAGTGACGTAGATCTCGACATGCTGATTCAAAAAATATAGTCTGTTGATGGTCACGGGGCAACATTTTCGAAAGAATCGCTACGAAATGCGGATTTTTGAAAATTTCTAAAAATTTCGATATTTCAACAGTCGATTCTGGAAAAACGGTTGCAGTTATCAAAGAAACGAGGCCCAAAGTGATTTCTAGAGCTCGAAATCTACAAGAAAATGTTTTTAGTTAAGTTTCGAAAATGTCAAAATTTCGCCAAAATTTGAAGAAGGGGGGACCATTGAAAAAATTTCATTTTTAAAAAAGTTGTCTGAAAATTACGAAAAAATTCAGGGACGTAGATTTCGACATGCTGATTACAAAAATATATAGTGTTGATGGTCACGGGGCAACATTTTCGAAAGAATGGGTATGAAATGCGAATTTTTGAAAATTTCTAAAAATTGCGATATTTCAACAGACGATTCCGGAAAAACTGTTGCACTTATCAAAGAAACGACGCCGGAAGTGAGTTCTAGAGTTCGAAATCTACAAGAAAATGTGTTTAGGTAAGTTTCGAAAATGTCAAAATTTTGCCGTATTTTGAAGAAGGGGGGACCATTGAAAAAATTTCACTTTTAAAAAAGTTGTCGAAAAATTATGAAAAAAGTCAGGGACGTAGATCTCGACATCCTGATTCCAAAAATATAGTGTGTTAATGGTCACGGAGCAACATTTTCGAAAGAATCGGTATGGAACGTGAATTTTTGAGAATTTATAAAAATTTCGATATTTCAACGCTCGATTCTGGAAAAACGATTACAGTCATCAAAGAAACAATGCTGAAAGTGAGTTCTAGAGCTCGAAATCTACAAGAAAATGTGTATAGCTCAGTTTCGAAAATGTCAAAATTTGGCGGAAATTTGAAGAAGGGGGGACCATTGAAAAAATTTCACTTTTAAAAAGTTGTCTAAAAATTGCGAAAAAATTCAGGGACGTAGATCTCGACATGCGGATTCCAAAAATATAGTGAGTTGATGGTCACGGGGCAACATTTTCGAAAGAATCGCTACGAAATGCGGATTTTTAAAAATTTCTAAAAATTTCGATATTTCAACTGTCGATTCTGGAAAAACGGTTACAGGTATCAAAGAAACGATGCTGAAAGTGAGTTCTAGAGCTCGAAATGTACAAGAAAATGTATTTAGTTAAGTTTCGAAAATGTCAAAATTTGGCCGAAATTTGAAGAAGGGGGGACCATTGAAAAATTTTCACTTTTAAAAAAGTTGTCTAAAAATTGGGAAAAAATTCACGGGCATAGATCTCGACATGCTGATTCCAAAAATATATAGTGTTGATGGTCAAGGAGCAACATTTTCGAAAGAATCGGTATGAAATGCGAATTTTTGAAGATTTCTAACAATTTCGATATTTCAACAGTCGATTCTGGAAAAACGGTTGCACTAATCAAAGAAACAATGCCGAAAGTGATTTCTAGAGCTCGAAATCTACAAGAAAATGTGTTTAGCTCAGTTTCGAAAATGTCAAAATTTGGCCGAAATTTGAAGAAGGGGGGACCATTGAAAAAATTTCACTTTTAAAAAGTTGTCTAAAAATTTCGAAAAAATTCAGGGACGTAGATCTCGACATGCTGATTCCAAAAATATAGTGTGTTGATGGTCACGGGACAACATTTTCGAAAAAATCGCTACGAAATGCGGATTTTTGAAAATTTCTAAAAATTTCGATATTTCAACTGTCGATTCTGGAAAAACGGTTACAGGTATCAAAGAAACGATGCCGAAAGTGAGTTCTAGAGCTCGAAATGTACAAGAAAATGTATTTAGTTAAGTTTCGAAAATGTCAAAATTTGGCCGAAATTTGAAGAAGGGGGGACCATTGAAAAATTTTCACTTTTAAAAAAGTTGTCTAAAAATTACGAAAAAATTCAGGGACGTAGATTTCGACATGCTGATTCCAAAAATATATAGTGTTGATGTTTACGGAGCAATATTTTCGAAAGAATCGATACGAAATGCGAATTTTTGAAGATTTCTAAAAATTTCGATATTTCAACGGACGATTCTGAAAAAACGGTTGCACTTATCAAAGAAACGAGGCCGGAAGTGAGTTCTAGAGCTCGAAATCTACAAGAAAATGTGTTTAGCTCAGTTTCGAAAATGTCAAAATTTGGCCGAAATTTGAAGAAGGGGGGACCATTGAAAAAATTTCACTTTTAAAAAAGTTGTCTAAAAATTGCGAAAAAAATCAGGGAAATAGATCTCGACATGCTGATTCCAAAAATATATAGTGCTGATGGTCACGGAGCAACATTTTCGAAAGAAATGCTATGAAATGCAAATTTTTGAAAATTTCTAAAAATTTGGATATTTCAACGGTCGATTCCGAAAAAACGGTTGCACTTATCAAAGAAACGAGGCCGGAAGTGAGTTCTAGAGCTCGAAATCTACAAGAAAATGTGTTTAGCTCAGTTTCGAAAATGTCAAAATTTGACCGAAATTTGAAGAAGGGGGGACCCATTGAAAAAATTTCACTTTTAAAAAAGTTGTCGAAAAATTACGAAAAAATTCAAGGACGTAGATTTCGACATGCTGATTCCAAAAATATATAGTGTTGATGGTCACGAAGCAACATTTTCGAAAGAATCGCTCTGAAATGCGAATTTTTGAGAATTTCTAACAATTTCGATATTTCAAAGGACTATTCTGGAAAAACGGTTGCACTTGTCAAAGAAACGACATCGGAAATGAGGTCTAGAGCTCTAAATCTACAAGAAAATGTATTTAGTTAAGTTTCGAAAATGTCAAAATTTGGCCGAAATTTGAAAAATTTTCACTTTTAAAAAAGTTGTCTAAAAATTGCGAAAAAATTCACGGGCATAGATCTCGACATGCTGATTCTAAAAATATAATGTGTTGATTGTCACGAAGCAACATTTTCGAAAGAATCGGTATGAAATGCGAATTTTTGAAAATTTCTAAAAATTTGGATATTTCAACGGTCGATTCCGAAAAAACGGTTGCACTTATCAAAGAAACGAGGCCGGAAGTGAGTTCTAGAGCTCGAAATCTACAAGAAAATGTGTTTAGCTCAGTTTCCAAAATGTCAAAATTTGACCGAAATTTGAAGAAGGGGGGACCCATTGAAAAAATTTCACTTTTAAAAAAGTTGTCGAAAAATTACGAAAAAATTCAAGGACGTAGATTTCGACATGCTGATTCCAAAAATATATAGTGTTGATGGTCACGGGGCAACATTTTCGAAAGAATCGGTATGAAATACGATTTTTTGAAAATCTCTAAAAATTTCGATATTTCAACGAATTATTCTGGAAAAACGGTTGCACCTATCAAAGAAACGTGACGGAAGTGAGTTTTAGAGCCCGAAATCTACAAGAAAACGTGCTTAGTTAAGTTTGAAAATGGCATTTCAGTATCGAGGTGTTTTAAAGTTCAAGGTTAAATGTAATAGCGGCAACTTTGACTTATTAGTAGGATGTAGGTACATTCAATTTAATTTTGCTTATATATCTATAATTAAGTGTTTATTCCATTAACACCTACAAGTATCGGAATACTCCAATCCTGTAACGGGATCACTGGGGCTAATTAATCAACATTTCACACTACTGATTGCCTGTTATAATTATAATATAGCATTTAAAGTGCAGTTGTTGATTAAGTGTTGACGGGAAAATCATACGTCAGGCTAATACACATAATGTTTTTTTTGTATTTTTTCAAAAAAAATACCCAAAATCTATAAACCAAAGAGGACCAGCTACAACGATTAGGAAAAATACGAGGGGTAAATTACAATACAAAAAGTTTAACTTCAAATAACACAAATGTATACATTATTTTAAACTTCTTTCCTCAATTAATCTGTACAAATGTTGCTATATTTAATGTAACGGGAGTTCCCATAATTAAACATACATCCAAATACAAATATGTCTATGCAACCAATTCTACACAGTGTCGAACTAACGTGAAAACATTCCATGAACAGATTTTCTAAAAGCTGTAATTTTTACAATATAGTTTCATTCTTTTTTGATAATTTTAATTTCATATGGAGTTTTTGTCTGAACATGTTCGTCTTTTTGTGGAAGTTTTTTTCCACAAACGTGTGGCTTATCTTAATTCAATTTGTTTAAATCGCGTCCTTGTTGGTAGCATTGTGAGACGTCACTGAAACGTCAACTGTCAGGTTATGGTCCCCCGTCAGTTATAGTAAATGAAAACTAATCAAGCCCCTTAGCAATGTTTTTAGAGAGTTTATAGTATATGTTTGTTATGTTATTTATTTATAGTTTTGTGCGTTTTGTTACGTTGTGCTTGTTTTACTAAAAATGCATTTTTCAATTCCTGACACACAAGAATTAAATGAAGGAAATGGGTCAACCTACATCGTACGTTATTTTCTCGTTGAATGCAGCAACTAAAACTAAATGAGAATTTTCCAGGGCTACAATATCCACATAAACGGAATCTTCCATTGCACCGTTCGCTACAAGCAACTGCACAATTTACATGAACAGTTAAAAAAGGAATTTGGTAATGACAATCTGCCTACATTCCCTCCAAAAAAGCTACTTCCCTTAACTGGAGGTCAATTAGAGGAACGGCGTGCTTTGCTTGAAAAGTACATACAAACAGGTTTGATACAATATTCATTTAACCTTAATTCTAATATGAGTTTTAAGTGGGGCAAGATTCTAAACTCGTTTCATCAGAATTACTAGTAGGATTTTTGCTGTCTGCCCAGCAAGAAACAACATGCGAGAAAAGACAGGAAATTAATTTAGAAGTGTACACTAGCAATAATTATCAAATTCCTATTACTGTGTCAACATTTGATCGCACTGAACAAGTTCTGACTAAAGTTTGCAAACAAATCAACCTACCCTTGGAATACATGCAATACTTTTCTTTATATTTAATTAAGAAGGATAACAATGGAGATTTAGTTGTACTAAGGAAGCTCCTAGATTTTGAATCACCATACATGACGCATAAGACTGTCAGAGATTCAAACAGAATTGTGATACGTAAAAGGTGAGAGAAATCTTGAAACAACACAAAACTGATGATATATTTTAGCTATTGGGATAGCAATTATGATCAAGAACTTATGACAGACCCCATTGCGCTCAATCTTTTGTATGTTCAAACTGTAACAGATGTAGAAAGAGGATGGATAAACTGTACTAAAGAAATTAAAATGCAATTATCGAACCTTCAGTCAAAACTAGCGAAACGCGAATACATAGAATTAGCGCGAACATTAAAGTATTATGGTTTTATGCAATTTATGCCGTGTTACTGTGATTTTCCAAAGCCTCAAACCAAAGTCCTTATTGCGATAGGTGATCAAGAGCTAAGTATGCGTCTAGTAGGACCTGGACAGTTCGTCAAAGAAGGCTGTTTTAAAGTAACTAGGATGAGATGTTGGCGTATTACAGCGACTCACGTAATTATTAGCTGCGATCACGTGATTGGAAAAAAAAAAGGGATCAGAGTTGGCTATAAACAACAACTCTAATTTGCTTTTTTTAACCCGCACGCAATATTTTATTTCAACAGTTAACTGTTGTAGAATAAACAAGATATGGCAGCTAACAGTCAAGTGAACATGAACTCTGGCTTAGAATTGTCGTTTGAATACTTGATGTCAAAAGACAAACTGCAATGGATAACTGTGTCAAGCGAGCAAGCCATTTTAATGTCTGTGTGTCTTCAGTCTTTGGTTGATGAACTGTTAATGAAGAAAAATGGAATTCAAAAGAAACAGCCAGTAATAAATAAAGGGAATTGGTCTTATATGAAAAGAGATGGTTCCTGTCATTTAATTTCTTTAGATGATGTCAATTCAAATTCAAGGGTGCGTTTGCTGTGTTCGTTTGACAAAAAAAAACATCTTTCTCTTGCAGGATGACACTTCTACTCAAAAATATCAAGAATCCTTCTCCATCAAAAAACTCCAAGAAAAATTTTCAAGTGTGTCTTTCAAGACAGGCAAAGAATTTATCGAAAATCACGCATTTGAAGGAATAGGCGACGAAGATTTATAGATTGACGATTTTATTGATTGTTTTGCTTTGGTAAATGAATGTTGTTAAAATGTGGGTTTTTTTAAGGTGCTATTTTTCAATGTGTCCAAAAATTTATTGCCATTTACAATAACTAAATTTGGCAAAATCATAGATCATGGGGTAAAGTTTTGGCCTCATACAGTCCATTTTACGTGCCAAACTTAGAAATAATGAACATATTTTACTAAAGCAGCAATATATTCATATTTTGTATATTAACAGGTGAACATGTAAGATGACTAATTCTTTATCAAACAAATCTAAATTGCGGAATTCTGACAAAATGCTCAAATTTTATATTCCCTATTTGTTTTAGTACCTGACCGATTATATTAAAAATATGCATTTTCAACTTTATAAATACATCCTTATGTATCTAATTTTTTATATATTTTTTATATGTATTATATAAATCTTATAACGTGTGTTACTCTTTTGTTAATCTCAATCTGACAAACTTTACATTCCTGTAGAGTTTTGATCGTCCAAACGATAATGATAATTTTTTATATACATCTCAAATGTATTTTAACAATCTGTGTGTGTATGTAATATTTTACATTTAAATTTTAAATAAATAACGACTTTATATAAACGCTGATTCAGTTTGTGAACTCCTTTTAATTCCTGAAAGCCATGTCTATGTACCTAAATAAGCAGACTAATACTAGTGAGTGTCTAAATCTCCCAAAATTGTGTTTAATAATTTTTATGATGACGTCAGCACTTTTTTGGAAGGGACGATTAAATATAATTTTGTTGATTCATAATTAAAACGGAATAAATTTCATCAAGTGCTACCTTTGTCAGCAAAAACCGTATTTTTTAATCATAGATCCTCCGGTGCGGATGTCTGCAAAAATACTCCTCCATTTCTTCGCGATTGTGGCACCAGCGGCCGGCATTGACCCCCAAGCAGTTCAGTTCCCCCAAATCCACCTCCACGATTCTCCCATCAACCAAACACTGGCAAATCGGCGGTTTTTCCTCGTTGCAGCCGAAAATCCGGAGGTGTTTCCTTCCCCGACAGTACCAAGTTCCGAATTCCCCTTTTTCGGGGTAAAAGTCTTCCCAGCACTTGCATTCTTCTTTCGTTTTGACTTCACTGGGGGTTCTGTCGCTGGGTAAACTCGCCAGCATGCAGAAAATTAGGACTTTCATTAGAGTTGTGTCTAGACGAAGTCCTGGCTTCACTCTTGAATCCATCTCGCACAATTTGTCAACAACGAATCAAAGTTAAAGTCCTGTAATAGCAAATTATGTTAACTTTTGAATTTTCTATTAATCTCAGATTTCAAAAACAAAAACGCAACGGCGACTTTTAAAGGTTTAAAAAAAAACTGTGTTAGTGTCATCTATTTATTAATTTACGATTACATTATATATAAATGTGTTGACACATTAAACAACGAAATAAGAACCAAAAGAAACAAAGGCAAATAAATCAAACAATCCAATATCAACCCTCAGCAAGCACTACATCACATACGTCAAAATAACAAAATTACAATTGGACGAATTCTAAAGTTCTACTTTATGTGACGCAGTGTTCATATATTGGATTCGTTACAAAATTCCCTAAATCCTTCAAACTCCCTGCAAGACAGGAATCAATAGTAAAAAATTCTACATCAATTGCAAATCACGATTATTTATCTCACAAAATAAAAAGAAGTCACAAAACTACACCATATGTAAGTAAAGATATTTATGTCACAAAATAAACAAGAGAAATCACTTAGGCCTAAATAATGCGGCTTGAACTTTTGTGGCACAAACATCATAAATTTGGTAATGACATGCTTCTACAGCCATAACTTTACTAAAAATAAAGATTATATAGGTTGGTTAGGTTACAAATTGGAACATTTTATATTATATTACAAAACACATCAGACATTGAAATGCAAACGTGTACGTTTGCATCAGCTGATTTCGGTAATTATAGAATATGCTGACTAACTGGACCCAAAACCAGCCTTCTATTAGCAAAACCTCTGGTCCATGCTAAATCAACTTAACGTCAAAGACTGAGACAATTATCAAAATAATACCTTAAACCTATTTAGCTATAAATCTATGTCATTTTCGCCGTTTTTTCGAACTCTTGGCAAGACGATCCACAATACCGAAAACGATTAGGACAAAAATGACTTATTTTAAACAGGTATCATATATTAATCATGCTTCTCAGGTGAATTCTCTTTGGTTGGCGATTGACTCCTCGACTTGCTACGCTCCTTACTCATGGACCTCGAATGTGACCTATTCTTCGTCCCGTTCTCTTTGGAACAAGACCTAGACTTTGACCTCTTGCTGTGCGATCGAGAGCGCGACCTAGATTTCGATACTTCTTTTGACTTAGAACGTGAGCGGGACTTCGAACGAGCCGCAGACTTGCTCTTCGAACGATCTCTAGATTTTGATCGGCTAGAACGATGCGAACGACTTCTGGAATAACTTCTACTGCAATTTCTCGTTTACCTATATTCAAAAATTAATAATCGAAAATGTCTCACCTCGACCTGGAACGCGAACGGCGACGTGACCTAGAACGGGAACGGCTGCGACTACTCGAAGACCTTGATCTCCTACTGCCGCGCCTTCTATCCTCGATCAGTCGAATTCGACGACCATTCAATTCCGTGTCGTCCAGTTTGTCGATGGCGTTCTTCATATCAGAGTAAGAGGCGAATTCTACCACGCTACAAACAAAAAAAGACACAAATAAACACAAGTCGACTTTTTGAACACAAGAATTTCGTTTTTAATAACTTCAGTAAGAAAAAAGCATCTTCACGTAATCTCAGTCCCGAAAGATGGTAAAAAAACATCATGCGTTATGAATTAATTAATTAGAAACTTGATAATAAGTTCACTTACCCTTCATTCCTACGTTGTTTGTGGGCGTCTGCGTATGTAACTTCACCAGCTTGTCTCATGTAATCTTTAAGGTCCTACCACAGAAGAAAAAAAAACCTTAGTGACGAAGAACAAAAAGAAAAATAATTTTGTAAAGAAAAATTACCTGACTTTCGACAAAGGTAAAATCCGAACTTAAAAATAGAAATTTTATTGTAAATCTAAGTGATGTAAGTCATTTTTTTAAGTACTTTGTTACATTTTGTCAGTTTAAATGCGATAACGAAACACATACACACCCCTTTTTGTGATTTGTGATTATAAGTGAGCGGTGAGGTATCAATAAATCACAAAAAGAAAATCCCACTCAACAATTGAACTAAAATAAATATAAATAAAAACGTGTTACTTGTTTAAACATTACACCCCATGTAAATTTCGTCAATTTTAGATTATTAATTTGTGAGGTCCATCCTGAAATAAGAGTTGGGGAGTCGTCGTCGTACCTAAATAAAAGTTAGTGTCGTAATATGTCCTAACTTCAGATCAGAAGTGGGATGCAACATTTAGTTTAGCAAATTGCAAGTACTCGCAAAAATAAAAACAAACACACAGTGCTGCCAACATACTAGACAAAATGTAACCAAGTGTGATATCACATAACTGCGCGTCATGCTAGGGCATTACCTGAGGCATTTGTGCACGAGAAACCAGAACAGTACCAATGGAACGGCGGAAATACACATGACTGCCACTCGATCACATGGGTTTACCACATTGATTGAGCATTGTTTGAGCCTAGAGATACCTCACACTCCAAGGGAATGGGTGCTCTTTACAAAAAAGTACTTTATTTTACATATTCATATGACATACTTAATAAGGGTGTATTTGAAAACTGAAAATACTTCAAAAAGAAAATACAAAAAAAGTGGAAAGGAGTGGGAAGGTTCTAGTTTGTCTCTTTTATATTAAGAGAGTCTTCTGGAGACGCTCTCGCAGTCAACACGGAATCTGTCGTTTGGTCTTGACAGATGAAACGTTTGCCTTCGTTTGGACATATTTCGTCTCTACCATCATCGTAAATAGGAGATTGTAGACGGAAAGGGTTACATCTCGCACCGATTTGCTCAATATGTGGTTACACTGGCCGTTCTCAACCGTTTTGCCCCAGAGATGGAAACGCAACCGTCATGGAAATAAACCACAGTAGACGAAATACCCTCTTTCGATCACTGGCCTCTACTTGGTATATGCCAACCCTCATGGTTCGAAATGATAGGAATCTAGTAAGGATTTAAGGACCCTCACCAAAATAATTTTCAATTCAACATGCATTTTTAACTAACTTAGAATTCAACTGAAATGTCAAGTTACCTGCCAGCTCACTCTGCTTGATAAGTTCTCCACGATCAACCGGTATTCCGTTCGAGTGGGAGGACCATACCTACAAAAAAAAATAACCCTCACCATTTTCTAAAAACCACGATTTTGCTCGATTTTAGACGGTTTTTTTTCAGGATGTGAGTTGTCATCAAAAATGATCAGACCCGAAAGATGGAAAAAATAATATCATCATTCTTTCTCTTTTTTTAACTTGTTTAGGAAAAAATCTATTATATATTTACCTATCATGAGACCGCATGTCAGGTTCACGGCTATAAAAAAGATATGTATCAGAATTCAAGAACAGCAAAATATAAAAACTTAATTTGGAAATTTTGATTCAAGGTTTTGGCCAATTGTGTATTATTTTGTTACCATAAAGAAATTCTTACTTGTCACGGCTGCGTCCACGTGGTGGGCCGTAACCACGACCACCGCCACTTCCACGCCACTGGTCGCAACCTCTAGGAGTACCACGTGCCCTCTCCACTGAAACTCTGATACAAAAATAGTTTGCAAAAATCACCAAATTTTAAATTTTACCTTTCACCAAGCAGTTCTTTTCCATTCAACTCATAGACTGCGTCATCGGCATCTCTGTGGTCATCAAATTCCTGAAAACAAAATTACATTTCCTGCTAGACTATTACATAAAAAATTAAAAGTATCATTCTCGCCTGGAGACTTCTCAAAATGGTAAGAATTTGGAAATTATGTTCACTCCAAGTTACAAAAGCATTCTTTTATACATAAAAATATATATTAAAAATAAAGAATAGATAACACAAACAAACTTCCAAGCTACAATTCCAAAACACATTTAGATATGTTATCAATCACAACAAGGAGTGGCTTATATCCACTTTTATGTACATAATTTAATAACTTGCTTTTAATAGCCGCCGTGATGTCTATTTCACATGGCGATATTCATTAAAACACGAGGTCCATATTTTTAATATACATTTTTATTCTTACATCCTGTTTGCAACTGCTGGGTCAAGTTCAATGTCACAATAAAAACACACATGGACACAATGACTGATTTACTTTGATTATTCAATACTTAAAAATTGAATGAATCAATAGTTACCATGTTTAAAACAACAGAAACGTTACTTTGGCGTCCAAATGCCTTTATATAGTGGGACTTGGAAATGAAATTTCGTGCGTGTTTAACGCAATCAATTTAAGAGATAATTACCACAAATGCGAATCCATTCTTCATAGCGACTTCCTTAATCCGTCCATACTTCCGAAAAAACTTTTCGATATCTCTTTCCCGGACCCTGTACGTAAGGCCACCAACAAAAACGCGGGTCCCCATCTATAAGCAAAGTTCAATAAAATCAGAGTCAACACTGATTACTGATAACGTACAACGAAATAAATAAAACACACACTTCAACACAATATGGTAAAATTAGAACTTCAACGTGTCAAGTGACTGAGCTTAGCCCAAAATAACACTAGTTCCGGAAGGGTGAAAGTATTACGGCTACCCTCCCCATTCCCCGACTAAAAAACACCGAACGTAATAATCACATGACCTAGATACACCTCATCGCGAGAAACGTTAAATACGGATCTGACGTACCAAAACAAAAGTTGTTTATATCAAAAAAAATATTTTCGAATCGAACACGCCGTGTGTTTACCAATAAAAGTTTTTTTTGCGAAAAGTACGCGCTCCTGGACGCTAATTTCAGCAAAAATTTAACATAAATATAAACAATGATTCGTTCTGTAACACTGACCTTATTTCAAAGCTTATTTGCTGCGGTAATGATGAAAATAAACTAGCAACTCAGCAGAACTACAACAATGGCGCACACCTACAGACGAAATGGCCCGTACCCACTGCGCCGCTCTACGCCTCATTTTTCAAAAATCGCATTTATCGATCGAAGTTAATAATTTTGGCTAGACGTTCTGATTAGAAATAATTTTTACATTCGTTTGTGTTAATATTGTCCCATTTCATGTTGAAAAACTATATTTATTTGATAATTCATTTTGAACAGCGACGCGGGTCCGAGATTATAAGAATGCGCGCGCATTTATTAAAATATGAAATTTGGAGTTACGAATCGTAGGCTGGAATTTCAAGTACACGTCGTTGAAAATGTTAGGTTAGTTTGATACGTAGCCCAAGACTTAATTATTGCACTGTTTGTTTATATGTGTTAGGTTATAAACAGCCTAAACGAAACCGCGAGATTTGTCAGAATTCAAGATGAAAGGTATTTCTTTGTTTTTTAAGTCACATTTATTTATTATTTTTGTCGTAGCTAGTGTTTTTCTGGTACCTGCTTTAATAGGTTTTAAGACTACAGTTCCTACACTACATTAGTAAAATTTTACAATTGCTACTTTGAGGGATTGTCGGACAATACAGGGGGATGACGCCAGTAAAAGGAGCCTGCAGCTAGTGTATAGTGGGCTAGAAACATCGAGGGTTGCATGAAATTATGATTTATACCTTCATGATTAACTTTGAAATACCAACAAAGATATGATTTTGAGACAGAAGGAAGAAATGGGCTAATTTAGCACTGTGAACAGTTGACTGGAGTACTATATAGTTACACTGTATACTATGTTCTTGTTAGTGTTAAAATATTGTTGACATTATAATTTAAAAAATGGCTTTCAAAATGGTGTATTGTTTTTTTTTAAATTGGTTTCACCATTCAAAAACTTAATTTACATATGAATCATGTACACTTTTTTCTATTCTAAAATATTTACTGAAAAAAAAATGTGTCAAAGGTAGCTCTTGAATTTTCTTTCAAAATATGCGAAAAAACTTAAAAGGGGAATTTACAACAAGCAAGATCGTTTTTCAGTAAACACAACAGAATTTTATGAACTTACACAAGACTAAAAAAGAGCCAGTAACGCAGTGTACATTTTCTCGTCTTCAAATCATATATTTTCATAAGCTGCCGTTTATAAATGAAATATAATTCTTAAAAGTGAAATAAATATTACAATAATGTTATCTTCAAGTGTAAAAAAAACAATAACAATTGTTTTAAAGACAAGGAGAAGAATGGGAAATTATAAAGAAGAGGGCCAAGTGAACACAAATGAGAATACATCTTTATCTGAGGTAATAAATGTGAAAATATATTATTTCTACTTAGAACTGCTCTTGTATCAGTTCATAATTTTTTAACAGTATTAATAGAAGTTTTATAGATCCATTTTCCAGACGAAATGTAACAGAAGACAACAATTGATACTTTTTTTCTCACCACCTGAAGGAAGAAAACAGAAAACACCAGCATTGAGGGTTTCAGTTCCAAAATTAGCATCAGGTAATTGAATCTGCTTATAAAAATTTTACTATTACTTCATGTTTCGTAAAATTTAGGTGAAATGGTGAAACTTATCTACTAAGAAATTGAAAATAAACACCTGGTTCACCAGATTTTGCTCCTCTCGATTTCTCTATAATTTGGATGAACTAAAGGAAGAAATTACAAACTACTGCATTAACATGATCAAGAAATGCTCCAGAGTATTTTGAAAATCATGTAACATATTGTTGCCTATATTAAGTTTAATTTTTTATAAAAAGTCATATATGTCTTAACATAAAGAATTAAATGGCAACTAAGTAACTCATTTGTTTTAAGCAATTATATTTTAATTTTATAACTGCATTGTTCAATGTTGCAACATTTGAAAGAACTGTTGTAATAATTTTAAATGTGAGTTGTTAAACTACAGATATGAAAGCATGTTATGCGTGCATTTCAAATGAGAAAAATTATTTGATCACGTCATTAACATTTTAATAAGGCTACATAACTGTATTAATTTAAATAGAACAGTACTGTAGTCTTTTAGTCGAAAAGTTGGCAACGACATCACATTTTGTTTTAAAAAGCTCACTTAAAGTACAGGCCTAGCATGCTTTTTTACTTGTAAATAAAATTCTCAAAATCATTGTACAATTTATTTAAAAACTGGATTTGTTTGTTGCACCTCAAGAGCGAGGGAAGTACTATCTAAAAAACCTTAGACCAATTTTTTATTTTTCGAGCCTAAGCTGAGGAAGTATTGTCACAGGGTCCATCTGGCGAATGGCTAATTTCATGTTTTCTTCAAAACTACTGATCGTTAAATTTTATATCTATTTCAGGAATTTCGTGTAGGTGGTAAAACGCTAACCAAAATTTCTTTTATCATTCCCACTTAGTAAATACAGTTTAAAATTTAAAAATGACATCTATTGTTGTGGTTTATGAATCCGTCTTGATTTTTTCACCCTAGACATCCAGATTTTTGGGAAAAAAAATCAAAATCTTTTATACATTTTACAGTTATCCTAAGAATGGAAAATCGTCAATAAAATTCCCCCTAAAACTTAGAGACGTCCAGACTGAAGAAGTTAATTAGTGAAGCAATTTATTTTAACTTATAGGGGTTATAAAACAAGCCTAGACTAGTCAACATGGAACATGAGAGAAAACGACTAAGGTGAGGCCGAACCTATTGTGGAGGTAGTTTAAGATTTATTTTTTGTCTACAGTATGTTTTTTTTTTAATAATAATAAAATAGAAACTGCAACTTCCCTAATTAAGATGATTATATATTATTATAGTGTATATAACTAGGGATATAATAGAAGTCGAAAAAAAAACTAGAATAATAAAAAGCCACTGACCAGAACATTAATGTGAGATGGAATAAAATCAAACCTAGCATGGACAGAGGTAAACATGGAAACAAACCCAAAAAGAAATGGTATGATGACAAATATCATGAAATATATTTTAAAATAGTCAGGAGTAGACGGAAGTGGTTAAAAACAAGAAATATGAAAATATGTATAAGAAAAGATGGTAATAAAATAATAAAACAAACCAAAAGAGACTGGATAGACAATAAAATGAAACACATGGAAGAAGAAAAACGTATAAATAGAAATACAAAAATAAGAATTAATGAACATGAAATCGAGGAAGTCAGTCGATTCAAATATTTGCGGATAATGTTAAGAGAACTAAAAAGAAATACCTACAAGGTCTATTCGTCGTCTAGGGAAACTGTAGATAACAACAGCGCAGTAAAAAAAATAGTACAACAAAAGTACCAAGCACTCAGGCTGTTTACAACATATAGAACATAGTACAAATATACTTTGGTGATATATCTGTTTTTTTTTTTTTTTCTAAAACTTGTAGAATTAGTTCTACTATAAAGCAGAGGGTCAAAATAAAAGAACAGACAAACTGGACATAATAGTAAAATTATAGCTCATATCAGTAGAAATCATACAAATACACGAAAAATGGATAGTCATGCTACTCGAACACTCAGGTACCATGAAGACAGTGTTGAGGCGGTCTATAATCAGAAAATTCAAGAAAATACGTAAAAGCAAAAAGTGTAAGGTATTATGAAGTAATATTATTACAGTTACATAATATGATAACATTCTAAATTAATTCGCTAGTACAAAATTAGAATGGCTTATTTTAGTAAAATATCTATGCTCAAAATATCAACATAAATTAAATATATGAAACTGAAAACTCCTAAACATTGTATAAAATAATTATACATCAATCCATCATCATTCATTAATGTAACTATTATTGCTATATTTTATTATTCTGTTCACGGAGGTATGTCATTATTCCATTTAGCTCCATGATCCTGCTACACTTGCCATCCATCTCTATTTAGATCCATGGTTGGTGTATTTTAAAGTTGCTTACATTGTTATATCGATCCTCTTTCATTAAAACATGATCAAACATGAAAATAAGGACTGATTTCCTTTTAAACTTGTTTGCAACGTAGTTTAAAGCAACAATTCGATTCAGCGTTTTCAAGTTAAATTTAGCGCGCTGTCAACTTGCGGACATCCTGCGTCATAAGTCAAACATTTGTTTTGAAAGCAGCCAGCAAAATGTGAGGTTATGTGATAAAAATAAATACTTAATATGATACAATATCGAAGCGAAAATGATTATTGACGAGTAAACAACGTAATTATTTAAATCTATTTATTTATCATCATGGCACACAATTTCCGGAATTGTTTTGAAAAGACGTACAAAGTCATAAACGGTAGGTTATATTTACTCAGTTACAAGATCCAGTTACTTTAAACCGTGTTACTTAACAATTGTAGATAACAACGAAGCAAAAATTCATCATGATATGAATGGGAGTACTTCCAAACCCATCCATGTGCAGAGGGTTGAACGAGCTGTCCAACTGGAGAATTTCCTCAGAGAAGTTAATAACCAGTTGGACGAGAACAGCAACAGTGATGACTCTATCGACATTTCCAACAATATAGATAGTTTATTGAAAGGTAACCGCAAAGTTTGCAATTTTAGGAAAGTAATGGACCACTTTTAGACTCCGAGTCTCATTCAACCAAAGACTACTATAATTTAAAGAATATATCGCAAAGGAGGGCTTGGCTGGCTGAAGTTTTACAAGAAAATCCTGACAGTACCCGTGAAGATGCACAATATAAACACATAACCAAACTACACGCTTTCCAGAAGCAAATACGGAACCATAAAGATGTATGTGGGTTATTTAAGTAGTATTTCTTGTAAAAACATATTTTAAAGTACTAAGCTAGATTGTAGTAGTTACTTTTCTAGTCAAAAGTTTTTGATCAGTAAAGTAGGTTGCTGAGCAACGAATCTGATGATCCAGAGTTAGAAGTACATATTAACTTAAAAATAACGCTGTTTTTGTAGGTCGACTTTAAACGTTATATTTACTATGGTTCTGGTTTATTAAGTGAAATCGATAGATACCCTGACATTGAAAAATCCCTACCTGTCAAATTGATGAAAAAACGCCACATGAAAGAAGAAACGTCAAAATCTCCCCTTTATCCTCCTGAAATCCTTGAAGATATTTCAGTAAGCGATATATATAATTGACGAAACCGGTCGCTAGATCGTTTTTTATTTTAGGACGAACCAATGGGCCTTTCACTTGATAACGTTATGGATTTTCAGAATTTAGATGAAGATTCTAACGTTAATTCAGATTTTAGTCAACCTCTTAGTCAGACTTCACAACAAGTAAATACATCACATAGTTCCAGCAAAAAGAGAATGAAGAAGTTTAAGGACGAAGAGTCTAGGAAAAAGTGGGAGGATATGATGAAAATAAAACGAAAAAAGATCTTCACAAATATGGCGAAGAAAGAGATAGGGAAACAACATCGTTCTAAAATAAATAAACACAAAGAAATGCTAATACAGTGCAGAAGAGTTGCTCAACAGTGTCTTAAATATGGCAGACAGAAGGCGGTAAGTATACTTAAAGAAATTGGGTTCATAAAGCTTTACTACGTGCTTAAAATAAACACAGTTTAAGATTAAGTATTTTGTATTTTAATCAGTAATACAATTTTCTCTTGACAGTTGCAATCTGCGCGGACTGTCAAAGAACAACAATGGCGCATGAAGCGCTTATCCCGTGAAAACATAGCCTACTGGAAGCGATCGCGGCGATTTGACCGAGAAGTGAAGAAACGTCTAGAGAAAGAAGCTGAGGAACAAAGAAAGATAGATCACGAATTAGTAGAAGCTAAACGTCAACAGAGAAAACTCAACTTCTTGATAACTCAAACTGAGCTCTATGCCCACTTTATGTCGCGTAAATTAGGCAAAGCGTCTCCTGAGGAACAGCTGCGAATTTTAAGTCAATTAGACGAGGAGAGAAATCCTCGATTATTGAATATCGACGACTATGATAGCGAATTGATGAAAGAGAAAGCGAAACGAAACGCACAAGAAGCGTTTCAGAATGAGAAAGCGAGGACGAAGCATTTTGATTTAGAGGCGAAGAGTTCAGTGGATGTTAATTCAATCGACGGAGAACAACCACAACCGAGCATTTTTCAAGGGAAGCTCAAGGGGTATCAGCTCAGGGGGATGAATTGGTTGGCTAATTTGTATGCTCAGGGAATCAGTGGAATATTAGCCGACGAAATGGGATTGGGGAAAACTGTACAAAGTATAGCGTTTCTTTGTCATATAGCTGAAAGATATTGTAAGTTGTTAGGAAGATAATGAGTACTGTGATTGGTCGCGCTCTTGTTAAATAACCAATAGATGAACGGCGATTGGAGCAAGGGTGGAGTTTAGTAGTAGTGGGGAATTTGAATTGACCAATCAAGTACTATTTTAGACTGGAAAACGTGTAAAGCGTACTAAGCGGTAATCAAATGTTTTAGCTGTTTGGGGACCATTTCTGATAATATCACCGGCATCTACTTTACACAACTGGCAGCAGGAAATAGCGAAATTTGTGCCTAATTTTAAAGTAGTTCCCTATTGGGGAAATCCAAATGTAATTGTAACCTTAGTTGAAATATTTCTTTCTACAGGTTTGTTCCAGGAAAGGAAAATTTTGCGCCAGTTTTGGGATCAAAAAGACATATATACCAAGGATGCCAGTTTTCATATAGTCATAACGAGTTATCAAATCGTTATAACGGATATAAAATATTTTAATAGGATTAAGTGGCAATATATGATTTTGGATGAAGCTCAAGCAATTAAAAGTACAAGTAGTATGAGGTGGAAAACACTTTTAGGTTTTAGTTGTAGAAATAGACTGCTTTTAAGTGGTACTCCTATACAAAATAGTATGGCGGAACTCTGGGCATTGTTACATTTTATCATGCCGACACTTTTTGACTCTCATGAAGAGTTCAACGAGTGGTTTTCAAAAGATATTGAAAGTCACGCTGAAAACAAAACTGGAATTGATGAAAGTAAGTAAAAAAGTAGTCGAGTAAGTTACGACAAAAAAGTGAGGTTGAAAATGACATTCATTATTTTTATTGAATTGACAGCTGTCAATTAATTAAGGTTAGAATTTTAAAATTTTAAGCATTATTGCGTAACGGATTAAACTTAAATTATATGTCACAATACACCAAAAAATGAAAGTTCTAAATTCGTCCTAAGTTCATTATCATGGCGTTCAGCCAGAGCTTTATGAGCTGCCATTAATATGGCGTCTGGCGTCTCTAAACGAAATTTAACTACTTGTTATATATCATTTAATTAAATGCTTGATTTTTTAGAGCATCTTTCTCGCTTGCACATGATCCTCAAACCGTTCATGTTACGAAGAATAAAGAAGGATGTAGAAAACGAACTTTCGGACAAAATCGAAGTAATGGTTTACTGTCCTCTAACCACACGACAACAGCTCTTGTATATGGCTCTCAAGCAGAAAATAAAAATCGAGGATTTGTTGCACTATAGTGTCGGCGGTGGTGATTCCCACACTGTAGACAAAAACTTTACTTCAAACTTGATGAATTTAGTTATGCAATTTAGAAAGGTACTTCTTTACGAATTAATAATTGCGATTATAGTGAAAGTGTTGCAGGTCTGTAATCATCCAGAACTGTTTGAACGAAGAGATGCAAAGTCACCAATTCACCTTGCACCATGTGTGTTCCGTATACCGTATCTTATCTTTGATTTTAATGTTAGAGCGGAGTTGACGTTAAAGCTCCAAAAGTACTTTTTATTCACTGCGGAGTATATAGCAGAGGCCGTTAGGACGAATTTTAACGAAACGATTTTTAGTATTTACAAAGCTTTAAATTTATCTTTTTATGAGTTTTATATGATTTTACAGGGCGATATTAAAACAAGGTAATGGTTTTTTACTAGTTGTCAATTGTTAATATGGGGTCAAATTTCAGATGGACACACTATTTTCGTACGGAAAATGAAGACGAAATTTTATTTCATAGAAAATTTTGGAACGATGATCTTCGTGCCCCGTCGATGCGTCTTAGTTACGAATTTAATTTAAATGATTCTAGTATTAGAAGCAGTAGTGTTTTGCCTGAGTTGATATTTACGAGAAAGAATTTTGGAAGTCGCGTTTTCTATACACATACGGATCAGTATTATTACCCTATGCCAGAAACAGTGGAACATAGAAATATTAGGTGTAAGAACGCACTCAATAATGAAGAAGATACTATTATTGATGTAGTGACAGATGAATCTCCTCTGATTGAAGAAGTTGTAAGTAGTTTTCTTGTTTAGTTAAAAAAAAAAAACGAAATATAGTGTTAGTATGTACATATTTGGACGTTATTTTATTTTAAGAAGTCAGAAGTTGGTGAAACTATAAACTACAGAGAAACACCTCAGATACAGAAGTGTGCGTTGACAGTCCTGCCGCCATTTTTATTCTGTACCATGCCTAAGGTAATAATTTATCTTTTATGTTATTCTAGAGAGAAAAACAAGTATCACGATTCATTTTAGGTTACAACTACTTTCCCAACTTTATATTGTTATTCTAGAAGAGTAGCATGGCTCAATCAACGTCACAGTAACGACTTTAGTTACAACTCTTTGAATTATTATTGGTCTCAAGCAACAGGAAACAAGTTCAATTGTAAATCTGCAGAGACTTTGTACCCACAACCAACAAACGCTATTGATATTCTAAGACCTTTAAAGGGTTGGTCTTGCATTGCCATTCCAGGTACAATTATATTTTGTTTTCACTTTAATATCAATTTTAAACACAATTAAATTCATCTAGATAAAGAAACACTGGTAACAGACTCTGGCAAGCTCTCTGTACTCGACGGACTTCTGAAAAAACTGAAAGAGGAGGGTCACAGAGTCCTTATTTATTCACAAATGACAAAAATGATAGATTTATTAGAAGTGAGTTCATTCTGTGATAAATGTGCGAGTTACTTATTGTACTTATTGTTATCATTGTAGGAATATATGTGGCACCGACATCATAAATATATGCGTCTTGACGGTTCATCCAAGATATCCGAGAGACGAGATATGGTTGCAGACTTTCAAGCCAGAACAGACATATTTGTTTTTCTTCTATCTACTCGAGCTGGTGGGTTGGGGATAAACTTGACGGCTGCCGACACTGTAAGTAAAAAATCTATTAGCTTAGTAGTTTCATTGATTACCCGATCCTTTTTTTTTTTCGTTAATTTGCGTAATGGCCGCAAGATGGCGTCCCGATCAGCGTGCGGCGTTGTACATTTTTAGCAAATTGTACGCACACCATGTGCGGCCTTGCCCAAGGCGCTCGATTTTTTCTATTGTCATTAATTTTAATTTTTCATGTTATTCATCCTGACTTTTCGACAATATTGCGCCGACATATTTTTCTCATCGCATCATATTGGCAAGTTATGATGATATCTCGACCTGTTTTTGTAAAAACGTGTTTTCGATGATTTCAGAATTGACAACATGCTCAAATTATGAATTTGTATTTCGTGGACGTGTCGCAAGAGTGGAGAAAATCATTGAACCTGTTTGTTTATCGCAGTTTAAAACGCTTTGATTATAAAAGTTGGGCGCGCAGGTGCGATCTTAAAAATCATTATAGATACAGAAATAGTTAAATTAAAAAACCGTTAAGAAGGTTTACGGCGATCTCGGATTTGGAGAAAAAAACAATAATCTTGGATAAACAGTTTCGAAATACATAATTTATTGGTGCACCTTTGCGTCAGTCGATTTAAAGATCTGGATTGTATATATCACCACGGGAGTGTATACATATGTGTAGTATTTTTTATAAACGGCAATTGTCTTACGCTGCTATTAACATAAATTAAAATATGTAAAAAAACACCCGGTAAAGCAATAAATTTAATTTGTGTTTAAACCTGATTTATAGAGAAAGCAAAATTAAAAATAACGAAAAAATATCAAGGACTCGACGGTTATATATATCAATGGCTGCTAAAACAAAAATGTTTGAAATTTACGAGGTGAAAATTATTTGAAGAAGAACCACACTTATTTGCACAATAATGTGTGTACTTTTTATGTAATATCTGATGTTATGTCAAAAACACACAAAAACAATTTTTCTTTTGATTTCGCTATTTTTTAACAATTGTGAGAAAAGAACAAACAGATGTTTTATGTTCTTCTAACTAAACAAAACGGTGCTTCTGTTCTAGTTCTAAAACTAAAACGACCAAAAAGACGCCAAAATCAATCATTCACTTTTTGTATTCGCCAGCTTCCGATTTATCAATATTACTTAAGTGTTAAACTTAACATCCACAACCACAATTTTTTGTTATTACCTCTACTTCCGTTCTCGCCATTTCGAAGTTTTTGAACCCAAGTGTTGCGCTGTCGTGATTTCGAGACGAATTAAATATTTCAACATCAATGGGGGGGGGGGGGGGGGGGTAACTGAGTGTGGTTGATTAATTACTCAGTCCTCTCTTCTGCGTTGAGAAAACAAAATCAAACAAATTTCATTTTCTTTTAACCGCTGATGCTTGTAATCTGAACGTGCTACTAAACAGTCGAAGTTAAACATGTACTGAGAAATTGGAAATATCTATATTTTTCTTCTCACACGAAGCAATTATAATTCCTTTTTTAACGGCGTTTTGTTCACAACAATCACGTTTTTTATCGGTTTGTGTGTGATACTGATAAGTGATGAATTTTTGTTCACAGCACAGTGAAATGTAAATTTACCAATGCTTTGCGGTTTCCGTGCATACAAAATTTGTAATATGAACACGAATCATTTTGTACGGGATATTAATTAATATCGGATATAAGAAAGTGGCAAATTTAGATCCAGCGATAAATTTTTCCGTAATGAGTGTACAACATGAAAAAGTGGGTCTTTCCGTTTTGCGTTTGTCTGTCGTCTGTTTTTAATTTTATTAGGCATTATATAATCCCCAAAAGTACGATTGTCGTAAAATTTAACCAAAATTTATCTGATCAACTCTGTCAAAAATTTGAAAATTTTACGAGATAAATGCTATTTCAATTGGTTTCTTCTCTTAATATAGATAGTATTCTTTGAATAATCCTACGAATAAAAAAAATCATCACAATTGAGATAGGGTGGGTGGGCGGGCTTTCTTTTCACAAAATGAATCTTAAAATGTTTAAAATGGAAAATTTGTATAAAGAAATGTTGATTTTTCAATTAGGCTCCAACCCAATAAATGCAACATTCATATTTACTTGCAAAAATGTACCATTTTAACCATGTTTTATGTTACTTGTTGTGAAAAGATGGCCATATTTATATGCTCCGCCCTTCGGGTGGGGCTTCTCTTTTAATTAATACATTTAGTTTTCTTTGTGCAACACGATTACTTAAGAACATATCTCACATGGTAATTTCTCGTACAAAAATATGGATTTTACTATTAAGTTCCGCCCCTCGGGTTACGACGAATAAAAAAAATCATCAGAATTGAGATAGGGCGGGTGGGCGGGGATTATATTTTGCCTTTTTTTTTCGTAATATACATAACCGTCTTTTCACAACAAGAAATTTAAAACATGGTTAAATTGGTACATTTTGCAAGAAAATCGATATTTCCGTATACAAATTTTCATTTTAAACATGTTTTAAGTTTTATATTGTGAAAAGAAGTCTACACATATTAAAACAGAAAGGCAAAATGTTAGCCCCCCACCCGCCCCAACTCGAGTGTGATGATTTTTTTTATTCACCGTGAACCAAGGGGCATAATTTAATTTGAAAATACTTATTTCTCTACAAGAAATTTTAAACCCCACCCACCCACCCCATCTCGATTGTGGCGATTGTTTTTATTCTTAGAAACTTGAAACACATTTAAAATTGCAAATTTTCGTGATTAGGTTCCGCCCCTAAGTCTGGAAACGAATGAGAAATTCATTACTATTTGGATCAGGGCGGGTATGGGTGGGACCTATTCTTTGACTTTATTCTTTTCTTAATTTACACAATAGTCTTTGTACAACCCGATAGTCAAAAGCATGTTTTTAATTTCTCGTAGAGAAATGCGGATTTTGCAGCTAAGCTCAGCCCTCTTGGCTCACGACGAATAAAAAAATCATCACAATTGAGATAGGGCGGGTGGGCGGGCTTTCATTTTCCGTTTTTATTTTAATATGTGTAGACTTCTTTTCACAACATGAATCTTAAAACATGTTTAAAATGGAAAATTTGTTTAAAGAAATATCGATTTTGCCCCATGAATGCAACATTCAGATTTCCTTGCAAAAATGTAGCATTTTAACCATATTTTATGTTACTTGTTGTGAAAAGATGGCTATGTTTATACACTCCGCCCCTCGGTATGACAACGAATGAAAAATTCATCACGATTGACATCGAGACGGATGGGTGGGGCTTCACTTTTATTTAATACATTTAGTTTTCTTTGTGCAACACAATTACTTAAGAACATATTTCACATGGTAATTTCTCGTACAAAAATAAGGATTTTACAATTAAGCTTCGCCCCTCGGGTTACGACGAATAAAAAAAATCAGAATTGAGATAGGGCGGGTGGGCGGGGCTTATATTTTGGCTTTTTCTTTTCTTTTTTTTTTCTTTTTCTTTTTCTTAATATACATAACCGTATTTGCACAACAAGAAATTTAAAACATGGTTAAAATGGTACATTTTGCAAGAAAATCAATATTCCCCTATACAAATATTCATTTTAAACATGTTTTAAGTTTTATATTATGAAAAGAAGTCTACACATATTAAAACAAAAAGGCAAAATGTTAGCCCGCCCGCCCGCCCTAACTCAAGTGTGATGATTTTTTTTATTCGCCGTTAACCAAAGAGGCGGAGCTTAACTGCACAATACGTATTTCTTTACAAAAAATTAAAAACATATGTTTGTGTATCGTGTTGTTCAAAGAATACTATGTATATTAAGAAAAATAGGGAAAATATAAACCCCGCCCACCCACCCCATCTCGATTGTGGCGATTGTTTTTATTCTTAGAAACTTGATACACATTTAAAATTGTAAATTTTTGTGATTAGGTTCGCCCCTAAGTCTGCCAACGAATGAAAACTTCATTACTTTTTAAATCAGGGCGGGTATGGGTGGGGCCTATTCTTTGATTTTATTCTTTTCTTAATTTACACAGTAGTCTTTGTACAACGCGATAGTCAAAAGCATGTTTTTAATTTCTCGTAGAGAAATGCGGATTTTGTAGTTAAGCTCAGCCCTCTTGGCTCACGACGAATAAAAAAATCATCACAATTGAGATAGGGCGGGTGGGCGTTCTATCATTTTCCGTTTTTATTTTAATATGTGTAGACTTATTTTCACAACATGAATCTTAAAACATGTTTAAAATGGAAAATTTGTATAAAGAAATATCGATTTTGCTCCATGAATGCAACATTCAGATTTCCTTGCAAAAATGTAGCATTTTTACCATGTTTTATGTTACTTGTTGTGAAAAGATGTTTATACGCTCCGCCCCTCGGTCTGACAACGAATGAAAAGTTCATCACGATTGAGATCAAGACGAATGGGTGGGGCTTTTCTTTTTGGTTTTCTTTTTTAATTAATACATTTAGTTTTCTTTGTGCAATACGATTACTTAAGGACACATTTCACATGGTATTTCTCGTAGGAAAATAAGAATTTTACAATTAAGTCATCAGAATTGAGATAGGGCAGGTGGGCGGGGCTAATATTTTGCCTTTTTTTTGTCCTTAATATACATAACCATCTTTTCACAACAAGAAATTTAAAACATGGTTAAAATGGTATATTTTGCAAGAAAATCGATATTTCCCTATACAAATGTTCATTTTAAACATGTTTTAAATTTTAAAATATTGTGAAAAGAAGTCTACACATATTAAAACAAAAAGGCAAAATGTTTACATTTAAAATTGTAAATTTTTGTAATTAGGTTCCGCCCCTAAGTCTGCCAACGAATGAGAACTTCATTACTATTTAGATCGGGGCGGGTATGGGTGGGGCCTATTCTTGGACTTTATTTTTTTTTTTAATTTACACAGTAGCCTTTGTACAACACGATAGTCAAAAGCATGTTTTTAATTTCTCGTAGAGAAATGCGGATTTTGCAGCTAAGCTCAGCCCTCTTGACTCACGACGAAT